GCTCTTCAACTGAAAGACTTCTTCTTAACTACAACTTCATGTACTGTAGAAATGTTTAGCTTTTAGCTCCATTTTTTAATTACTCATTGCGAACTATTTAGGTTTTGGATTTGAAGTCATTAACAAATTGCATGTTATAAATCTGACTTATCAAAAACGTTCAAGTCCCATGCTGTACCATTGAATGCTTGAGTCAGTATGAAGGTAACGGACATCTTGAGAACAACTTGCTGTACCATTGAATGCTTGAGTCGGTATGAAGGTAACGGACATCTTGAGGACAACTTGCTGTATCATTGAATGCTTGAGTCGGTATGAAGGTAACGGACATCTTGAGGACAACTTGCTGTACCATTGAATGCTTGAGTCGGTATGAAGGTAACGGACATCTTGAGGACAACTTGCTGTATCATTGAATGCTTGAGTCCGTATGAAGTTAACGGACATCTTGAGGACAACTTGCTGTACCATTGAATGCTTGAGTCGGTATGAAGGTAACGGACATCTTGAGGACAACTTGCTGTACCATTGAATGCTTGAGTCGGTATGAAGGTAACAAACATCTTGAGGACAACTTGCTGTACCATTGAATGCTTGAGTCGGTATGAAGGTAACGGACATCTTGAGGACAACTTGCTGTATCATTGAATGCTTGAGTCGGTATGAAGGTAACGGACATCTTGAGGACAACTTGCTGTACCATTGAATGCTTGAGTCGGTATGAAGGTAACGGACATCTTGAGGACAACTTGCTGTACCATTGAATGCTTGAGTCGGTATGAAGGTAACAAACATCTTGAGGACAACTTGCTGTACCATTGAATGCTTGAGTCGGTATGAAGGTAACGGACATCTTGAGGACAACTTGCTGTATCATTGAATGCTTGAGTCGGTATGAAGGTAACGGACATCTTGAGGACAACTTGCTGTACCATTGAATGCTTGAGTCGGTATGAAGGTAACAAACATCTTGAGGACTCCTTGAATAATTAAAAAAAAAAAAAAAAGCTAACTAATATTTTGAAATAAATCAACAGAAACTAAACTGGAATTATTGTTCTTCTTTTAAATAGATCAGATTGAAATAGAACATAATACTTTATTTTTGCTAATGCCAAACATGAATAAACAACATGATGCAACATACATGCATTCCAAATAAGAATGTGGTGGATATTTGTAAATAAAACTCAATACAAACTGATTTTTTTTATTTTTAAATCTTAGGCATTATTGTATGACAAGTGACAAATTGGAATGGTCATACCCCTATTTCAGATCTTAAGGTTTTTAACAAGGGGCTGCAACTGGTTCTCAACACAGCATTCCCAGTGATAACTAGTAAACACAAACTCCTTCATGTACTGTAGAAATTTTTAGTTGTTTGGAAACATGAGCATATTGCAAAGATACATTTTACAAATATGTCAAACTAACTTTCCAGTTTTGTAGAGATTTGACTAAAATCATGCTGAAGCCATTGGGGTAGGTCAAGTTAAGAACCTTTTACAGAGGACCATAATTATGTCTGCCTGCATTTATTCAAAAGAAGAATTTAAATTGCAGATGATATGTAATGAATGCTCTAAATTGTTTCTTAAATGTGATAGCTAAAGAGATAAACAAATACATAGTGAATTCAGATAAAATTACCACTATCATCCATTGATGTGGCATGATGACTTTATTATTTTGCCAAAAAAAAAAATAGGGAAGAAAGATTTTAAATAAATGATAATAATATACAACAAAATGAAAATTCCCCCAAAAAACAATAATTATAATTTAATATTTCAGATGAGATTGGTGTACTGGGTTATACATTGATCAAACACCAACAATGTCTTTTGTTATTTTCAAATTGTCAGCCTTTTTTTATTGAAAGTTTTGATAATCTGACCAAGCTGGCAAATGCTGGATGATGATGACAAGATAATGCCAAAACTATATATTATTATAGACTTCTTAAAAAAAAAATTGTGTCCTTTTTTTTTTTTACATAAATAAAACAAATGGTAATGATTGGAATGATGGAGCATTCTTTTACTGAACTTAAGCCAGAGAAATATGCCAATCTTTTTAAATCATAACAGCAAAAATGCTTTCCCCTTTCACCTGCTCATTTAAAAAATTAGTAATAAGGGAGTGCTGCATATTATTTTATCATAGTACAATTATTACAAGGCTCAGAAAATTCTTGGAAGGGTCAGAAATTCTTTGAAGGGTCAGAAAATTCTTTGAAGGGTCAGAAATTCTTAGAAGGGTCAGAAATTCTTTGAAGGGTCAGAAATCTGTATGAAACATTTACTTCTTATTTTCTTGAAAGTATTTCAGCAACAACAACAAAATGGTAGAGCTTCAAACTACTTTGTTCAAATGTTTTGAATGAAAAATTCAAACATCTTTTTCCCATTATTTAGAACAACACGCTGCACATTCATGAAGCAAGCAGTCAATGACTAGATCAAGAATTAAAAAATACATCTCTTTGGCAACAAACTTAAGCAGAATTAAAATTTGAAATAAAATTGGTTCTCTATTTTATCAGGTTATCTCTTCAAGATCCTGACCACTTAATAATATAAATGCAGTTAAAATCCAATGGCATACAACAATTTCTAAAAGTTAAGCTATAAGGGAAAGAAATATAAAAATGGTGAAATATAATTAGTAAATTTAGCTATTTTTTAAGCAATCTTTTAATAACACTTTATTTCTTAATTTATATAGATATACTTATATTGGAGAAGTAAGCTGATCATTTGAAAAAAAAAATAAGCTACAATTAAATATGCACTAATTGCTCTGTATTATTTCTTTCAATAACGTAAGTTTTCTTTCTCAGAATATAATTCAAAATATTACAAACAAGATTCCAATTAAGAAAGATGGTACAGTTTGAATAATCAGAAATTCCTATGAAAAAAAAACACATAAAATATGGTTTCTAATACAAACTTTAAAAACCTTTTCTCAAGCTCAGGGCCAGGGGAGGCAAACATTGATTAACATAAAAGGAGGGACTGCAATAATCTTAAGTTTTTTTCCCTTTAAGACCCTATAGATAAAAGTTTTAAAAAAATGAAACTGTTTTCAAATAGTCTAATAGTGAATCTCTCTTTTCAAACCTATGATCTAAGCATTAAGTTTTCGATAGAGTGAAAAAACCCATTAAAATAATGACATGTGTGAAATAACCAGCCTAAATAAATCAGATGAGGGTAGAGCAAGCATCCATTAAAAATGTATCTAATGTCTAAATGCCACATTTGCTGTAGTCCACTTTAGAAATGTATAAAACTGAGGAGATCCATAAACTATAAGATGCCATTTGATTCAAAATGGAGAATCCTCATTTAAACCCTAACTGTTATACTTAACAAAGTCATCAATAAAAATTGTCATGTCAAATTTGCTCCTTAAAAAAACAACCTAATATCACAACAATAATAGATAATAAAATAAAAATAATAAGGAAGAGACAACTTTGGGCTGAAGGTACGGGGAGAAACAACACAATGATTCTAAAATAAATGAACAATAATGCCAACCCATTTATTATGCTAAAGAATTGGAGGCTTCCCTTGTGCCTCTAAGCAAAGCTCAATCAAATGGCACAACATGAAACTGATACAAAATTTTAATACTGGACATAACGTTTTTACACAGCTCCACATGTCACGATAGCCAACCAAATAGAGTAAACAAGTACAAGGAATGATCATTTTTCTGGCATCACAGGGAATCTTGTTGACACTTATGCTTAGCTCAGGCGTAGAGAGAAATGGCTCATTATGCTTCTAAACAAAAATCTAGGATCTAGAAACACAAACTCTTTGAAAAAGAGCTTTTATTGTAAAAATTAACAAATGAAATGTAATCAAACCTATCTTTTAGAGCGACAATAAGAATTTGAATGATAAAATGAAAAACTGTAATTAAAATGAAACTTTGACATTTAACAAAGTTAATATTTGAAACATTTTTCTAACTGAAAGTCCCTTAATTTGAAATTTTACTAGAAACATTATTTATGGTCCAAAAGTGCATAAAGCGTTTATGATTATTATCAACACAATAATTTTTCACTCCATGGACCACATCAAGTGCCATATAATATACTCACAATCTTAAAAGTTATTTAACAACCAAGTTAAAACAACCGGCTGTTCACCAATAAGGGTGAAATATTGTTACATCAGTGTATACCCAAAGTGACTCCCACAGCCATCACCATATGGTCAAACACACAGACAAAAAGTTAGGAATAAATAAATATAAGAAACAACATCATGCCTTTTGATATCTTCACCATGATAGTATATCACAACTCGATGACAATGACTAAGAAGCATCATGCTTTTAATCCGTATTTTTAATAAAAATGGAATTCTAAAAAAAAGTATTTTACGTGCCACTTCAGAATTGCAAACTGTAAAAAATGTCCGAGACCACAATGACATGGCTAATAACCGAGAAATATGTCATCTGACAAATATCCCTTTCACTACAACAGACTTTAGTAATTTACCACTTGCAATTTTTTAATTTGTAAATTATTTCTTTGATGCTTTTTGTAAGCTTGCATTATCTTTTCCCTTATTCATTAAAGATCCATTTTAAAAAAATTGTTTAATGAAACAACAAAATGTATAGGAAATTCTGACTCGGGGGAAACATAGTTGAAGATTTAATTAAGTTACACAGCATAAATAAGCATTCAGCTATTTATAATCACATTATCTACAACCATCACAAAATATATAAATTTAAAAATCACAATATACAAACTTTCTATCAGGAAATGATGCAAAGTTAATGGCAATGATTACCTCATAAAAGGTGATAATGCATTTCACATCCTGATTCCAATGAAAGAAAATACTTTAACTGGCACTGACTTAGCTGTCAAGAAAAAAAAAAAAATGGACACAACTCTGTCTAAATCAAGATTAATCATCATCAGGACTATCGTCTCCATCACTGTTTGATACCTCGGCCGGCTTTTCTTTCCCACTATTTAAGCCAATGAAATAATCTCGCTGTTTGCGCTCTTTCTCTGTACTGGGTTTGTAGCTGACATCTGAAGGAGGCTGGTAACCAAGGAGGTTTTCCATCATGTCAAGTTTAAGCCAAAGAGCACTGATCCCAGCTGTGCGGGAATATTTGCTCTTTTTCTCAAAGCACAATAGACCATCCACCTAGAGAAAAAAAAATTAATTGTTCAACTAGCATTAAAAAAACCACTCAAATTGGCCTTAAATAGTTCATCAATTGAATTTCATACTTCATAAAAAATTTAAACACTGGAAAAAGTAATTTATAATATTTTTAAAAAAACTGTTTCAGGAAGCATGAAAGTTGATACTCTGAATTTATTTATTGTGTTTTCACCTTTCAACAAATCAAACAATGATAGGAAGATATTAAGATATGTACCAACAAAGATGTAGTAATTATATAGTGTATGACAGTAAGTTCCGGTTAGCTGGGATTAGTGTACAGGTTTTTTTTGATGAGGAATATTTCTTTGACTATGACATTATTAGTCAAGTAAATCCTCAACAAACTGTGATTTATAATATAAAATGTCACCATTGCTGGTCAAGGGATGAGCCAAAAGTCACTGTCTTCAATATGCTTAGCTAATTATGTGATTTCGGGGTTTGTACCGCATTGATGATATTCTACGCCATTTTTGTTACCACTTCCTGTCTTACTTAAAGCGTAGCAAAACTCTATTCCTCTGTGTGCTCTCAGACTGAAACACACGGAGTGACTTGTGGTATGTTCAAATACAATATTACACTATATACCATTGTGGTAACGGCTCTGGTAAATAAATTGTTCATCTGTGATGCCGAGAGACCAGAAATAGGCCTTATATATGACAATTTGGACTTCAGTAGGAAGACAGGTTTCCGCATAGCTGGTACTGCTCACTGTGTGTTTATAGACATTGTACATAGAGCATCTTGATCATGCTCTACTCATCCACAGGAGAGACCGCCAATACAAACGTATGAAGAAAAATGGCTCGATTGAACTGAGAGAGGAGGTACTGAGACTCCGCCGAACCATTCAACGCTTATTGCGTAGATCGTATTGGAACTACATGAACGGCATCTTCTCAGAGGAAGACACCCCGACCAAAGATGGCAAGAACAAGCGCTTCTGGAGCTATGTGAGGCACCAAAAGTCTTCAAACACTGGAGTTTCCCCCTTGAGGTGGGATGGCCAATTGACATCTGACCCAAAAGCACAGGCGGGGATACTCAATCAGCAGTTCCAGTCGGTCTTTGGTGACGGTAGAGAGTACTCTGAGACTGAGTTCCTTCTGAAGATCAAAATGATGAACGAGCCTACCCTGTCATGGGAGATATCCAGATATCAGAACAAGGTGTGTTTGCCCTCCTCAATACCATTAACCCTTACAAAGCATGTGGTCCTGACAACACCAAACCACGAGTGCTCAAAGAATTAGCCAAAGAAATCGCTCCTGCACTGACAATCCTCTTCCAATCCTCTTCCAATCGTCACTATGCACAGGAAATGTTCCAACAGACTGGAGAACAGCGCATGTCACTCCAATTTACAAAAAAGGGGAGCATTCCGACCCTGCCAACTATCGTCACCAGCGTGGTCTGCAAACTGTTGGAGCACATAATCGTAAGCACAGTCATGAAGCATCTTGAAAGCCAAAATATACTCAATGACTGTCAACATGGCTTCCGAGTCAATAGATCATGTGAGACCCAGCTTCTCGAATTTGTAGAAGACCTGATGACCAATCTGGAGAACCACACGCAGACTGACGTGCTAGTAATGGACTTCGCAAAAGCATTTGACCGTGTGAATCATAGTTTGCTTCTACAAAAACTCCAGAGATATGGGATTCAAGGCACCACTAAAACATGGATCTCTAGCTTCCTCAGCCACCGACGCCAAGCAGTAGTGGTGGGCGGTACAAGCTCCTCCTTTGTCGATTTGAAGTCAGGGGTCCCCCAGGGATCAGTCCTGGGCCCCTGTTTGTTCCTAGCATACATTAATGACCTACCCGAGAAACTGACATCACAGGCAAGACTGTTCGCAGATGACACTGCAGTGTATAGGACGATCGCCAACAGATCTGACCAGGACCAGCTACAACAGGATCTCAATCTGTTAGCTGAGTGGGAGATGAGCTGGGACATGGAATTTCACCCTGCCAAGTGCCAGACACTATCAATCTCTAGAAGTTGTACTCCTCTACACTACCAATACGAACTGCACGGCCATATACTTGAGCCAGTTTCCTCCGTAAAGTACCTGGGTGTTACCATTCAAAGAGAGGTCCGCTGGGACGAGCATATTAACAATGTATGTAACCAAGCAAACAAGACCCTAGGGTTCTTAAGGCGAAATCTAAAGATTGGCAACTCCTGTGTGAAAGAAAGAGCATATAAAGCCTTTATCCGTCCGATTTTAGATTATGCATCTTCAGTCTGGGACCCATTTACCCAGAAGAGCATTGACAGGTTGGAGGCGGTCCAGCGACGAGCAGCACGCTTTGTCCTAAACCGCTACAGGAATACCTCTAGTGTTGGCAGCATGCTAGAAACACTAGGCTGGTCACCATTGGAGAAACGACGACGACAATCCAGGCTCTCCATGATGTACAAGATAAATAATGGGCTGGTCCACTGTTCCAGTATTAAACAGAAACTCGTCCCTCTCCCCCATAGACAGCGACGAGGCCATGACAGGCAATTCAGGCTCATACCAGCAAGAAGCCAGTATAGGAGCTGCTCATTCCTGTCCAAGACAATCAGGGACTGGAACAATCTTTCAAAAGGAACAGTTGAGGCGACAACACTAGACACATTTGTGTCTATTGCCTCAAGCCTTCAAAGCCCTAGTGCATGATTTCCTCATCAACACCAGTAACAGAAACATTGCACATCCCATCTACATGCATAGGAGCCAAAATGATCAATAAATTGATCGTGGGCCCTTAAAATATAGAAGAAGAAGAAGTGACCGTGCTTTTCTTGTGTTTTTACCTGACAAGAAACCAAACAATGACAGGAAGATTTGGCTGTGTTCCTTTGAATATGCTTTATGAAAAGAAAAACTTCAAAGAAAAATAATTCAGCTCTTCTTTGATCAATCAGACTTATAAGATTGGTATGTATAGTGTTTCCGCAAGAGATTACCTTATACTCTGCATCACTAAGGGCAGCTTGGATACACCCTTTGTTACTTGGAATCTTGGTTAGAACTTCTAAAGATAACTTCGAAATAGAAATAGTAAATAATTAATCAAAGTATCAAATTGGGTCTCATTAAAAGTGCAAATCAAAGACTAAATACTTACCCCCCCCCCCCCCCCCCCCCTTACACTTCATTACAGAAGATTGGTATATAAAGTTAGAATTTACTCAACCATTTACAATTCATTACAGAAGATTGTTATATAAAAATACAGTGAGATAAAACCATCTAATGAATCAACAATCCCAAGAAAGGTCCTATAAAATGTACACCCATTAGATTTGCTTTTCTTCAATACGCATTTCATTTGTTAAATACCTCTCTTTTTCCTGACTTGAGTGTGACATCAGTCAATTTGTCTTCCAACCAGAAGAATCGAAACTCTGCCTGTAACAGAACAATATTTATCAGAAACAGTGATTTCATAGTAATATAATGAGTTAGGTTACTCTCAAATGGCAAACTTTATAACACATCTCCAGGTTACTGAAAACGATGAACTGAGATTTAGATGATAGTTCCTCTGTACATTAACTTGTCCCTTCTGGCAGACTCAGAACATTAAATGCCTCATGTCTGCATTACCTTACGTTTTATTTAGTTGTGGAATAGACACAGGTAAATCAATTTTTTTATGTGGTTTCATCACATTATTCATGCTCACAGTGGTAAAATACTAGACTTTAAAAATACTATGGCTTTTAAAACCTAATTTTAACATTTTTAAAAAAATCTACTACTTGTAATAAATCCAAAGATCTGTCAACATTATATCTGGCCTTTGAAATTCAGTGTTTGTGAACCTTTCTAACTTAGATAAGTAAACAAAATTTGATTGGTCAATAATTGGATACTTTTTATCTAATGTTTTAAAAAATATATAAAAGGAGTGTGAACCTGGAGTCATAGGCTCCGAGTCCATTCATAAAATTTCAGACTCTATAAGAATAACCATTTCTACACTCATTGTAAAAGGATATTTAGCTCAAAACCAATATTTCAACCAACTGATAGCAACTATTTGTGTTATCTTGCATTTCAGCTGGGCAAGGTGGAGGAAAACTGGATCAATTATTAACGAAGCACTTTACCTCCATATCATAGAAGGATTGCTGCCGCCACTGCATGATATCAATGACAAAAAACTTTTGAAAATTGCCAGACCACAAACAGTCTAGGATAATCATCTCTGGAAATTTTAAAATGAAAGATTTTAGAATCCAAAAATAATTTCGGACCAGCAATTTTTAGGTTTAAAATGTGAAGCAAATAAGTTTTAAATTTTACCAAGAGACAAAAAAGTGTACATGGTCTTAAAATGCATTATAAATGTTAGGACACTAAGCAATTCTAATTATTATTATTCTTTATGTCTTAAAGCTCATTCTAGATAATATAGAAACATACCATTTTGTTTTTCCCCTTCAGCTAAGGATGGTGCACCATTAGGCAAGGATGATGTAAATCTATCTACTAATTTTCCATATTTGTTATATGTACAAGTTGATCCCTGTGAAATGTCAAGAAATCTGCCTTGTGATAGCACCAAAGAAAACATTAAAGAATTCTATTCTGCCAATGAAATTAGACAAAAATATGCTTACTTGCTTACAAGTAACAGCTTGGGTCAACAAAAATATTTGAGGACCAGAATAAAATGTAAAATCTTTTTTAAAACATTTAGAACATGCAAGGTCAAGAAGGATCTTAACTCCGAGAATTTCACAATGTGTCAATATAGGTAATCACAGTCACAGAATGTTTGAACATTTTCTTAGCCATCACTTACTTCTGGTATTTTAAATTAAAGAGTACCTACATTTGTTGCAACTATTATCCTCCTTTTGGCAATAGGACAAATGCAGGTTAGGTAATCAGTTTCAAAGTTTTCAGGTTTCCTTTCCATCCATTGTGATTTCATCACCTGGTTTATAAACAGTAAATATAACATTCTCACCTGGTTTATAAACAGTAACTATAAAATTTTCCCTTCTAAAATTAATTAATAGTTTTTTGTAAACTTGGCTTGTATCAATCTTGCATGTATTAATAGAACTTATGGCATTTCTATCATATTGTAAAAGTTTACACAAGCCAACAAAACAGAAGTAAGTTTGGAGAAAAAAGTAAAAAGTATTATTTTAATTTGGCTCATTTTTTAACTAAATGATGTTGACATATTTTCTACTTAAAGCCTGCTTTTATATGTTTATCCACACTAATAATGTTTTAAATACCAAAAGCTTTAAGAAGAAATAAATTAATATCGAAAATTTAAACAAAGAAAGTGGGTCCTCACAAAGTTACATTTTTCTGAGGTTTTGCATTGTTAAATAAATATAATTACTCTTGTTAAATCTTCTAATGACTACATAATGGCAGTAGAGACTGACCAAAAGTATTTTCTGATTTCAGCCAAAACCCAAACTACGCCGAAAGTTAAAAATGACTTTCAGCAAAAACCGAAAGCAAAAGTATTTAGAAATCTTGAAATACGTTCACCCATACATTCTGGATACATCGAAAATGATGGGGGAAAATATCAATATTTAATTTCTTTTTATAACAAAATGACATCATCGTGAATATTAATATATAAACATCTAATGAATACTTTAGCTTTTACCATTTTAATTTAAAAGTAATTAAAATTTCTTAAAAATATATTTTAAAGTAGTATGGTAAGAGAAAATTTTAACCTGTGGAAAGGGGGGGAGGGGGTGGGGGGCATTCATGCAAAATAGACCATTCAGTACCCTTTGCTTTCTAATATAATTACAACCTAGAACATATATCTACAATAAATATAGTGACTCTAATAGAGCCAATTGTCACCTAAATATCAGTTATTAAGGCTATAAAAATATCACCACAATGTAAGCAGTTATCGTCATACTAATGCTTTGTGTTTTCATAAATGTGATCAAATGGCAACTTTCGGCCCCGAAGTCGAAATTCGGTCGGTCTCTTAATACCAGTTTTATGCTTACACCATGGGGTTCCTCCCAGTTGGGTTCACATTGGTTGTTCGGTCTCGGTGATGACTTTTTTTTCTTTTTCAGTTGCTTGATTCTACCTGGCTGTGGTGTGTGTTGCAGGTGCTGCTCTCTTTCCCCAGTACCTCTGCTTCTAAAGTAAGTGTTGTTATTGTTGCTGTTAAAATTCTGATAGTACTGGCTTCCAGATGCCAGCATGGGTTGGTCATGATGAGAGTATGGGCGCTGTCTCCCGTGAATATTTAACTTCATCATGTCTGTAGAGTATTTTATCAAATATATATGAATCACTCTGACATAACAAAAAAAACTTAAGTTATAATCACAACATCACTTTAAGACTTGAATTCAAAAGCACCTTGAGGTGAAATTTAATTCAATGGTCAAGATATAATTTAAAATTGCCTAATTTGAACTTTTAATATTATATAAAAAAATTAACATTTTGTATCTGAACATTTAAAAACATATTTGTGTTCCAGTTATAAATAAACCAAAAACAAAAAATAATTGCACTAATAATGACCTTCAGTATAAAGAATGATTTTAAAATACCATTTTTGTAATATTTTAAATATATTTGAAACAAAATAAAACATTACAAAATAAAAAATAATAATAAATACCAGGCAAGTAAGAGTAGTCTTCATTAGGGTTCATCTGCCTGGCTCCCACGCCTCTCATGGATCTTCTGTTGTTAAATGGAGGCCTGTTTTCGTTGAAACTGTGAGAACTCTCTTCAAACCCTCGCGGACTATCAAAACTATGAGGAAAGGGGGGTGGAGCCATCTCAAGGTACCTTCTGTTTGACATCTGACTCTGCACATTTCTGTTTTGATCACGGACAGATCTTACTTGAATCCTAGCATCTCTACCAGTTGGATACACCTGTGAGATTATAGCTGGGCTAACACCATGGCTGTAAATAAAGTAGTCATAAAAGGATTTCTGAAATGTATTTTTTTTAAATCTTTACTATTTTATAGCACATTTGCAATTAAATATTGCATCAAATCAAAATGAGACATTTAATTTTAAATCAAATTTGTTTTCTCCTATTATGCAACAAAAACTGACTGTATATTAAATTCTTTAAAACAAATGCGTCTCCTTCAACTTGAATGTTTTAAAACAAAATTGATTTAAATATTAAAAAATAAATCTGCAATCTACATTTTAGACATTTAAAATTAAAATTTTCTTACGCAAGTGCCAGTGCCACGGGATCCTTGTAGCTGACTGCAGTGACTATTCCCATCTCGGGTATCTCTATTTTAAGTTTAGATGGGAGACGATCCAGGGTCAGCCACAGCAAAAATGGTGTACTCCCAGCTTGGTACGTGGCATGTTTGTGACAGAACAACAGACCATCTATCTGGTATACAAATCATAAAAGATATGACTTTCTATTACTGTAAAACTGTAACAACTAAAAAGATAACGTCATTTTAAAACAGAAGCAGCAATAAATAGTTAATCCAACAAACTATTAATATATTCTGAAAGTGCCGGTAAATAGTTTGAAACACTCTTCAAGGCACACAAATAATAAACAGTACATTAGCTTTGACTTACTAAAGCTGTAACCTGATATATTTAAAATTTGTTTTTGGATTCTGAAAATATCTAGGAGTATAGCAGAACTCACCAGATAAGGGGCCATGGTTACTGCTGCACATATGTTGCTCTTTGTAGGAGTGAATGTTTTTAATGGCACAAAGGGATACTGTATGAAAGATGTCATTTAAAGTTCAATCAGCACTTAAAGTGAGCAATCAGGAATATAATGGTATGAACAGATAAACGAAGATTGTTTTTGTTTTTTTTCCCCAAGTATCTTGCAATAAATAAGAAAGAAAGAAAAATTTAAACAATATATCGAAAATCATTTAATTTAACAGATGCATTACCGGGTTCATTGGTGAAGGCCTGCTCAGGTCATAATCTCTAATCTTATCTTGTAAAAACTTGAATCTTGCTTGAGTCTGTGGTAAACAATAGAAGGATAAGCATTTTTGCAAAACACATTTTTAGTAGTTATTATTATGTTAACTTTATTAAAGAAGGTAAATAGAAATGAAGTAGCAAAAACTTATTTATACCTAATGGTTCAAAAATTGTGATGGGGTGGTTATAAATTAATAATTTTAAAAAGGTGTTTTTATGGGATGTTGGCCCAATGCCAAACCTTCATCCTCACTTGCGACAAGCCGAGGCGGAGTTAGTAGAAGGATTAGACTCTAAATTTTCAAAAGCAAAAAAAATGATAAAGAATAGCAAAAAGATTTCCCTTTTTTTTTCTTCATTCATCCCCTTGTTAATTTCTGTTATATTTACACTTTTAGTGCTTACTTAGCAAAAATAATTATATATATATATATATATATATAAAATAGGAGGTGAAATAGGAAAAATAACACACAATCTCATAAATTATTTAAAAAAAAAAAAAAAAAAAATTTTATTTAATCTTTTATTACCCTGTTATAAAAAAAAAAAAAAAAAAAAAAAAAATTATATAAAAATATATATATATATAAAATAGGAGGTGAAATAGGAAAAATAACACACAATCTCATAAATTATTTAAAAAAAAAAAAAAAAAAAGTTTCATTTAGTCTGTTCTAACCCTGTTGTAAAAAAAAAACAGTAAACAGGCTTGCTGTTTTATAAGCATTATAACAAAGTCAATGGTTTCTTGACCACACTTATGATTAATTAGGTAGTCTAGAAAGACTACTCTCACGTAGATCCTGACCAAAAAAAAAAATGGTGAGCTGAAGCCATTTTTGTAAAGGAGATGGTGACTTAAATGATTGAAATAGGCCTACTGAAGACAAAATTAAAACATGAAAAATATATCACTACTCACACTACAATTGTAGGCAGGTTGCCCATCCCAACACATCAGGTCCAGCACATAGTAGGTCTCTGTTTCATTGCAATAGATACAATCTAGAACACAGGCACCAAATCCTGAAGGGAAAGATATGTATTTTCATATTCCTAGGTAATGAGTGCCACAATAAATGATTCCATTAGAAAGGATCCTAAACATTAAGCAAAAATATATTGTTTGATATCATTGTTAGACCCTAGGTTGGCAATCAACAGTATGCCGATGGAGATGAGGCAAATAGACCTCAAAGTGTACTCAAATTAGTTTTGTCCTCAAAGCATTTTCTCCCCCTTATAGGTGTAGAAAACCTTTGATTTCTTATTAGTAAGAATGATGTGCTGAGCTTAACAATTGTGAGACATCCTTTTTAATTTCACTTTGAAAAACATTGAAATAGGTTGTATTTTTTTATTTACATTTTATTGTGACAAATTTTAATGTGGGAGATAACCAAGGAATTCTTACAAATATAGTTTGATAGTTATTACTTTGATTGATTTGATATTTATATGGCGCTGGTATCCATGCCACTTTTAGCATGCTCACTGCGCTCTGGTTTTCCGAAATCTATTTAAACAAAAAAGGTTTTTAAATGTTTCTTGATAATGTTAGTATTACATGATTAGAATACTATCAAAGGATTATTTACCTTGAAACATTTTGTTACCCATTGGAAGATTAGATGGGTGACTAATAATATGATAACCAGTTTTAGTGTATGCTCCTGTATAGCCCTAGAAATAGAGACAAACATAATTATAAATTAGTTATATGCAGGTTTAATTCTTTCCAGGTAAGAGGAACTAGTGTTGTCATGCCAAAGAATTATACAATTTTAACTTGGATTCTAATTTAAGATTAGAATGTCAAGAGTAACATATTATTTAATTTCAAAAGTTGAACTATTTTAAATAGCTCAATCTACTTAACTATTGACAATCGTTTTCAAAAAGACTAACCCTACTGGCCACAACAAGGCATCGAGATCCAACAGGACACACCACCATCAGCCAGTTCTTTGCAAAGCTGGGAGGAACTTCCTCCATGCTCTCTGACATCATAAGCTTTAAAAGGGAAAATAATACAAAGCTCTGAATAATAATATCGCCAAAAATCCAAGGTATTATCCAAAAATTATAAACAAGCTTTACAAAATGAAATTAACAAAGGGCTCCAATGTATATTTTTTCAAAGTTCTGCTATACGGTGAAAAATATTTTGAAATACCTGGTTTTTGAAAACTTTAGATTTGACATCTCGAACATCAATGTTGGGTCTAACCAAGAAGTTAAGAAAGGCTTGTGTATGCTCGTAATAAACATATGGTTTCCTGAAATACATTGTATAAATAATATAATTATGAAGTATGAAACAAATCTGTCCAGTGAGCATTTACAAAATATTTTTTTTTAAATTACTTACTAAAATATTCTACTGTAGTTAACCTCACCCTTTAAGCTTGTCAAGAATTTCAGTGCGTCTATCAGTCTGGCTGGGCTGAGCACCTAAGGGGGAAGGCTTTTTCTTAGGATGAAGCCCAGGGGATTTAGAAATGAGACTCTGATTTTTTTTCACTGATGTTGAATTGTTAGATGCATTCTTTTCTTCTTTACTGTTACTAGTTGTCTTCACTTCGCTTGGGTCTTTGACATCCTCATCACTGACAACTACTCCATTGTCTTCAAAGTCAGCCATCATCTGTTAACTACTTTTTTTTAAAAAGACAACAACAAAAATTAAAGCGCAAATACTTCTTTTAAAAATTCAGTTTTAGTACAAGTAATAATATAAAAGTGATCTGTAATTTCTTTGGAAAATAAAAAACTGTTCCCATTTTTTATCAAAACACAAGAGATTGATTTTTCAAGCATGTTTACTATTTACTCAACTACCTACAGTGAATTATTGGACACTTAGGTTTTATATTGATCTGACTGTTCCGAAACTCTTATAATTTTTCGGGAAAACTAAAGAATTTAGCTTCTGATTAAAATGATCATTGTTAATTAAATTTTTTTCTCTCTGAGTACAGCCATAAAAGCAAATTGGATGCAGAAAAATTGCAAGATTACTGCAATTATTGCAGTAATCTTACATTTTTTAATTTTTTGTTTAGGATTAGAACTAAACTATCCTTTATGTACCTCAACCTCTGGCACATTCAATCATTTGAAATCTTCAGAATGGAGACAAAATGTTAGGTGTTCTTATTGTGTTTACATTAGCACATCATCAAAACAATGTTTACAAGTATGGAAAAAGTATTTTTAAGTGTCTTTGTTGTCTCTTTTTTGTTCCACTATCACTAAACAAAAAATATGTAAAAGCGCCTAAGACATTGATATCCACTTTAAAAAAGAAGTCATGAAATACAGTTCAATTATTCTCCATTATGTGACTTAAAATATTCAAACAGTTTGACTTGGTCTTGACAGGATTTAAAGAATAAATACAAAGACTGCAAACAAACGTATCACTGTTAAAATAACTGTTCAAGCCACTGGTTTCTTTCCCTTTTCAAAATAATGGAAGTAGCCATGAATTGTAAATAAATAGCCTACCTATTTCAGCTACTATAACTATATTCAAGTTTGGCAACAAAAAATTAATCCAAAAAAATAAAGGCAATACAGTTCAATATAGCCAATTGAATGATTTACAAAAACATCAAGATCAACTTTCTAGCTCATAAATTTGGTATAATATTAATTATTTATAAATATTAAATAACTCGGCCTTAAAGCTGTAACTTCATTAAAAAAATTTTGTTCAAGTACCCATCAATATACCATATTTTCTTGTGGCTAGTAGTATGAACTATGATAAGTGAGTGTGTGAGTAAGTTCAGCACTGTAATAACTGTAAGGTGAACCCAGTAACTCAGCAAGTTGAGCAGTTGGTAAAGTGTTGGGGGGGGGGGGGGGGGGGTGTTTTTTTTTTTTACATTTACACTATCATAAAATTAAAATGAATAACGATTTCCGAGTTCATTACTCATTGTTCTTGAATTTCCTTCATTTTAATTTTTACGTTTTTTAGAATTATTGGGCTATTGACTAATGCTTAAAGACTAGTCCTCACTGACCATGATTTTTTTTTATTTTTTAAATTTTTTACTTCTACACTATCGTGTCTATTTAGTAGTATTAATTGCCCTTAATTGACTGCGATTTTCGGTTGCTAAATAATCTACACGGTGCACAAACGTATATTAATAATTAATTAAAGAATTTAATTTATGTCACAAAAAAAATTAAAAGAGATGCAAACAATGTGTATTTGTTGACTCACCAGATAAATACTAATGTCCGAAATGTGGTAACGGCCGTATTAGAAACTAATTCGAGAGACTGCCGGTTATATTTCAGCATGAGTTATCACTCCTAAATTTTGATATCCGGATGCACAATAACTATTGTATCACAGTTACCAGCGGTTTTAAAAATATTTATTCATAGTGGCGGGAAACATAATTATTTGTTCATTTTGTTTTAATTTACCTTGAAACAATTTAAACATAAATATACTATGTGGCTAATGATGGAAAAATGGGGTGACATGAGGTCAATCATATTAGGCAGGAGCGTCACTATGGGGATGCAGGCCTTACCTGGTGACACTCTTGGTTAGGGGGAGGGGGCATGTGACCAAAATGGAAAAATAACCATTTGGCACAGAATCGCTCCGGTCGGTTTCATATTCATAACAATTTTAGAAAAAGTATAAAAGCAGGGCGTCACTAGAGCTAGGTGTCACCAAAGTTTCAGTGTCCAAGTAAGTGTCATCTTCGATAATGTCAGTGTTAACGTGAGTTTCAGTGTTAAAGTGAGTGTCAGAGACCCACGTCGCCCCCAAAATGTTACACTGGGTCACATGTGGGTAACACGTGGCTAACGGAAGAAAATTTAACACCGCTCGCAAAGTATAGTAAATCCACACCACAGATAACCTTGATGCCATCTGACACGTGCACCGCGGCTCACGTGTGGGGGTCACAGGTGGGGGGCCATCTGAATTCATTGGCTGTGGTACGCCTTTTAGATCTCGACTTGTTCTTACTGAACTATGAAAAGTTCTGTCGGATGGTTTTTGCCACAGCAGAAAAGAAAAATGCTATCAAGAACTCGGTTGCACTGCGTTACAGTGCACGATTTTGTTTATTTTTTTTATTTATTTCTTATTTAGATGCAGATTCAATCATTCGGGGCCCTGCCCTTGCGGGGGGGGGGGGGCCTGCCCTTGCGGGGGGCCCTGCCCTTGCGGGGGGCCCTGCACTCGTGGTGGCCAACAATGGTGGAATTTGATACGTTGAATACAATTATTTTGAAATTTTGGGGCCCGAAATTTGGATTCCACAGAGGTCCGAAAATCCCCAACAAGGACGTGCATCTTGGTCTTTTAGAAATACAGTGTATATATATCTATATTATAATTAACGGCCAAGAGAATGCTTAATTAATATTACAGATGGCTACGATCAGACATTTATTTATTATTAGTGACATAATGTCAAATGAAAGTATGACGCTACTTCAGCAAAGATTTTTAAATAGAACGACTGCGTTTGAAATTAAATTGCACTTTTTTAGAATTGGCCTAGTTCTAATCAAGAGAGTAGTCCCCGTAAAGGTTTTTTATCAAATCGCCCGAATCTTCAGTATGAGTTCTGTGTCGGCGGTATTTGTTCGTCGTTTGAGTTGTAGAACACGTTTCTTTATTATTTTTTAATTGAATGTTCACAACGATGTCGGTCGGCGAAAAAATAGATAGATCTGATCCGTCGGTCGCTAGTCGGTCTTTGGGGTCACTTGCTAGGCCAGGGAGGGTCTGCAAGTTGTTTTAAAGAGGGAAGCTGTTTTTAAAAAAAAATCATTTATATTAACTTCGCTTTTGTTCGTGTGTTTTTTTCTGGCCAGGTGGCAATATCTTCGGGCGGTTAACTGGCCCACTGCCCGGCTACCGATCGAGCTGAAACTTGGCATGTAGAATCGTTGCCGATGACAACACATTCTGGCAAATTTTCAGCCCTACCTCCCACGCCCGAAAATCATTTATTCCTGTTTTTTTCAAGGGGAATGTGGCGAAAATATTATGCCACCGTTTTCATGAAATAAAATTCCAGTTAACAGCGCTAACTGAGATTCTTTTTTTATTATTATTATTATTAAACAATATGAGTGATACGGTAACTTCACCAAAAAATGATATGATACATTATTTTTTCATTAATATTTTTATTTTATTTTTTTTAATTTGGCGGCTTCTGTTCACAGGTTAAGTTTATTTATGGCTTCTGTTCAGTGACTACCATGCTCATACTGCGGGGACACCAGCGCTATACGAGTAATCAATCGTAACAGCTCAAAGTTGATGATGGGTAAAATGTTGACAGCACGCTGTCACTAGGATACCGATAGAAGCACAGTGAGCGTAACATTTTCATTTGTTTTTCTGTGCAATAGTTGGTGAAAATAAATCTGCGGGTGTGACATTAGATATTAATATTTGAAAAAAAAAATGAAATGCATTGTCAAGGTCATGAAATCATGAGGTAGTGTGTGTGTGTGTGATGATTTGAGGACGACTGCGGATTGTGAACTAATTTCATGTCACGGGCGAATGATAGTGGAGTGAACGAGGCATGAGATTTGGGGTATAAAAGGGTTCACAGACGTGAGAGTGGGAGAAGAATAATTATTATGTCACGGGGGGATTACGTTCACAGAGGTTAGACGAGAGATAGGACCCGCTACAGCGAGACGTCTTTTTGGAGATAGTGGATTTTGTCATGATATGTTTTGCTGATTGGAATATTGCCATATACTTTGGATTCATGTTCACTAAACTTTGAGACGCATTAATCTAGTAATGCGGTCAGCAAATAAATGTCTTATGTACCTTGAAGCGTATTGTTTTGATGAATCAACCTAGTCTGTTATGTGACAAGATTTACAGGAGATTAAACCAAAGCGAGAATCATAAACCTAAACAACGAGCCAAATATTCAACAACAAGAATATTTGACAGTCGGTTGGTGGTGTGGGCAGGAAAGTGGATGGGATCGTTGGTTGTGTGGGAAGGAAAGTGAATGGGACGGTTGGTGGTGTTGGCAGGCAAGTGGATTAGTTCGTTGGTGGTGTGGGAAGGAAAGTGAGTGGGTCAGTTGGTGGTGTGACGCAGGGAAGTGGATGAGTTCGTTGGTGGTGTGGGAAGGAAAGTGAGTGGGTCGGTTGGTGGTGTGGGCAGGCAAGTGGATTTGTTCGTTGGTGGTGTGGGAAGGAAAGTGTGTGGGTCGGTTGGTGGTGTGGGCACGAAAGTAGATGAGTTCGTTCGTGGTGTGGGAAGGAAAGTGAGTGGGTCGGTTGTTGTTGTGGGCAGGCAAGTGGATGAGTTCGTTGGTGGTGTGGGAAGGAAAGTGAGTATTTTTTTTTTTTTTTTTTTTTTTTTTTTTTTTTTTTTTTTTTTTTTTTTTGGGGGGGGGGGGGTTGTTTAGCTATAAATTATATCTGATGAGAAAATATTTTGATAGCCGCATATCCTTAGAGATCATTTTTTTTTTCTTTGTGTTGCGGTCGTATCTATTCTTTACAAGACAAGTATGCTGTTCCAGAGCCACAGGTTTGCGACCACTGAAGGTGTGTCTCGAGGACAGACAATAATTGACAAACAGACAAGACAATATTTAGACAGAGCAGCTGCACCTGATGAGGTCACATCCCTTGATGTTTACAGGTGTACAGGGCCCCAAAATTGTCACGTGGGTACAATGTGAACAATCGACTTTGGCAACACAGAGCCGACCTGGGGTTCTCCAAAAGTCACTTGACGGTTAAGTGGACTGGTTGTATTCCTTTACTGCCACCCCCCCCCCCAGTATGAGCAAAGCAGCTTTTCCAATTCCTCAACAGGCCCCTTATTTTATTGCTTTTTTTCATTAAATCGTTAAATTTTTTGTTTGTTCTTTTTTTTAAAATGTTATTTATCTTTTAAAATTGTACTTTTTTTTTTTTCTTTTAGTACAGGGCCCCAAAATTGTCACGTGGGTACAATGTGAACAATCGACTTTGGCAACACAGAGCCCACCTGGGGTTCTCCAAAAGTCACTTGACGGTTAAGTGGACTGGTTTTATTCCTTTACTGCCCCCCCCCCCCCCCAGTATGAGCAAAGCAGCTTTTCCAATTCCTCAACAGGCCACTTATTTTATTGCGTTTTTACATTAAATCGTTAAAATATTTGTTTGTTCATTGTTATAAAATGTTATATATCTCTGAAAATTGTACTCTTTTTTTTTTCCTTCTAAATTTAACCCTTGCAACACCATCTGCATTATTTCATAGTCTTCAAACAAAATGATTGTTATGTAGTACACCTTTTCCCCGTTCTTGAACTTTGTTTCACCCCACATTCGATTCCTAGCATAAGGTAGCGTTTGTTTTGGGCGTGGCTTAGTCTTTGATGTATCGTGTTTACTACCGACTTTCAATTAAACATTGGTTAGTATGTCTACTAGTGTCTTATGGAAATTTCTCGATCGTATTAGAAAAGTAAGGGCGTTTCTAGACGCATCGGTAGACCCACATTTATAAGGGATTGACAAGCACAGAGAGGGAGGGAGATTCAGATAGATATGTTTTTTAACTTACGAGACGTGTATTATTCTTTGTTTTCTTATATATGTGTTTATTCGCATTTCGTCATTGTACATTATTGTGCTAACTGTGTACCGGTACAAGATCTACCATACTCTGTAAGTTGATGATTTGTAATTACATTTCTTTTGTTTTATAATTGTATTAACACTAAATTAAATTGTATTAATTGTAATTGGTACTGTTTTCGGTGTCGTATTTTTGTTATTGTATTTCTCTATGGCAGGCCTGCACAACATACGGGCCGCGGGCCACATGCGGCCCGCCAGCTCCCACTTTGCGGCCCACGAGGTAACGAAATATTCTTTATTCTCATTATTTTCTTAAAAGTTTTCCCCATGTCCTATTTCATTTTGGTCCGCAAAAGTCCTGTTCTATTTTCTTTTGGCCCGCACAAGTTTTTCATAAAGTATTACGGCCCGCCTTACATTTTGAGTTGTGCAGGCCTGCTCTATGGTATCGTCCTTTGTTAGGCACTGTTTGAACGATCCTTAAAATTAAAATAGGAGATTAATTTCTCACAATAGAAGCCAGTGTGTAACAATGATCCATATGGAAAAAAAATGCGAGGTGTCTAGGAACTTTTTTTCTTCAAGCCTCATTTGAATCCGCCCCTGCCATTGCCACGCCGTATAATTTCCTGACCCGACCCGCTTTGTCCACGCCGTGTTATGTTTCTAACTGATACGAGTTGAGCTGGAATTCTCTTCTCTGCCATCACTGCCGGTATATAAGGTGTCACTCGTAAAGCGTAACTTCTGCTTCTCGGCTAAGAACCACTTTCAAGATACGACGTCCTTAAGCGAGTAAGAGCACTAAACAAAAAAAAAAGTGGGATTTATTTGAAAAAAAAGGGTGTCATTCAGGAGTTTGTACATATCTAAAGGGTGTCATTCAGGCGTGTGTACATATCTAAAGGGTGTCATTCAGAAGTGTGTACGTATCTAAAAGATGTCATTCAGAAATGTGTACGTAATCTAAAGGGTGTCCTTCAGGAGTGTGTACGTATCTAAACAAGGTCAAGATGTTAGGTGACACCATAGTATTTGACTTTTTAAACGTGTTCTGAGTCAGCAATCGTTTCAAAAACATTGTTATCATAAATTAAGAGGGATTTGTCTAAAAATGACAAACGCAATGGAAGAACACCCATTTGCCCAAGCAAAAGGTAACTTTTTATTTTAACTTGATATCTATGTAGGACAGTAGGGCCTATGTAGGACAGTAGGGCATATGTAGGACAGTAGGGCCTATGTAGGACAGTAGGGCCTATGTAGGACAGTAGGGCATATGTAGGACAATAGGGCCTTTGTAGGACAGTAGGGCCTATGTAGGACAGTAGGGCATATGTAGGATAATAGAGCCTTTGTGTGACAGTAGGGCCTATTTAGGACAGTAGGGCATATGTAGGACAGTAAGGCCTTTGTAGGACAGTAGGGCTATGTAGTACAGTAGGGCATATGTAGTAAAATAGGGCCTCATTAGGACAGTAGGGCCTATGTAGGACAGTAGGGCCTCATTAGGACAGTAGGGCATATGTAGGACAATAGCGCCTTTGTAGGACATTACGGCCTATGCAGGACAGTAAGGGCTATGTAGGACAGTAGGGCATATGTAGGACAATGGGGCCTTTGTAGGACAGTAGGGCCTATTTAGGACAGTAGGGCATATGTAGGACAGTAGGACCTTTGTAGGACAGTAGGGCCTATTTAGGGTCTATTTAGGGCCTATTTAAGGCATATTTAGGACAGTAGGGCCAATTTAGGGCCTATTTTGGACAGTAGGGCCTAATTAGGGCCTATTTTGGACAGTAGGGCCTATTTAGGGCCAATTGTGGACATTAGGGCCTATTTAGGGCCTATTTAGGACAGAAGGGCCTATTTAGGACAGTAGGGCATATATAGGAAAATAGGGCCTTTGCAGGACAGTAGGGCCTATTTAGGACAGTAGGACCTATGTAGGACAGTTAGAGAAACTGAGCTTCCGATAAAAGATTTCAAGATATTCGAGTTTCAACTTTATAAAAACATGGATATTATTTTACGAGTTGTTTTTTAAAAAATAAAATGACAAGTATCAACAAGAAGCAGCGGATTACCTAAAAAAAAAAAAAAGGGGGGGGGGGTATAGTAATCATAAAAGGTATCACACCAGTTTCGGAGCAGCGTATACCATGTAAAGAAAGTATATTTGATTAAAACTTCTTTTTTTTTTTTAACTGTCTTGGAGGATCTTGGTTAGATTTCCTTGACACTGTGTTGAATTCATGTAGATTATGTGAATCACGCATATAAGGAAACTTATAACGCAAGTGTTTTCAACTTTCTTCTACAATGTTGACATACAACTTTCTTCTACAATGTTGACATACAACTTTCTTCTACAATGTTGACATACAACTTTCTTCTACAATGTTGACATACTACGTTCTTCTACAATGTTGACATACAACTTTATGAACTAAAAGGTTTGATGAATTTATGTCACTGTCGCTAAATGAAGAGCAACGTATTGCAGTTATGGAAAAAGGTCAGATACGCTCATTGCGTCTAACACCGAGACGACACAAGTGTGACTTTGTAGTGGGCGATCTTGTGTCACAATTGTGAGTTTATCGTGTCTAAGCTCGTGCCACAATTGAGAGCTTATAGTGGGCGCTCTTGTGTCGGAATTGAGAGTGTATAGTGTAAAATCTTGTGTGTGACTCATTGTTGGGCATTCTCCTTAACAGTGCATTGGCGTAACGTGGGAAAGTACTACTAATAATCCTAGATTAAAGGCAATGTACCACCGCTTCCAAATGTTCGAATATTGAATGCAGTTTCGTAACACGACGAGCGATGATAAACATCGTGATGCTACACATCATGACGCTACACATCATGACGCTACACATCATGACGCTACACATCATCACGCTGCACATCATGACGCTGCAAATCATGACGCTGCACATCATGACGCTACACATCATCACGCTACACAACATCACGCTATCTAAAGTATTTTTCTGGTTAACTCAGGTGATAACAGATAGAAGAGTTGCAACGCTATCAGAAGACTACTTGTGAGCAGAGTTTTGACCCTTGACCGTAGTACCATTAGCAACGATCACGTGCCAACAGATTGATAAAAACTTTAGGAATAAATTAAAAAATGGGCGGAGATGGACGCAACTCTACTGTCATTGGCTTTCCGAAAAATCTGGTCATTTTTCGGTAATTTAAAAAAATAATAGGAACGAATTCAGCCGTACATTCTTTAAATCAAAGTCAGCGCCTTTCAGTTTTTAAATTGATTTACACGTTATTTTTTAAAAAAATCTACCAATCTCCTTTAAGTTAAGGATGATAGCATTACAAACACGTTGTTTGCAGTGCCTTTCTGACGGCTCTCAGAGACATCAGTGTTTGACTATGTCAATGGACTCCAGTGAGTTCAGTATAAAGGGTAACGGCTAAGTGCCTCCCTCTGTATGCTGAAAAATCGTCCTTAGAGAGCAAGAATGTACTATGCACCAATAATAACAACACTGAGTTATTTAATTCTAATGCCTGCTTGGATCCCAGTTAATGAACAAATCTTTGTCCTATCTCAATATCGATTATTGTTTGCGTGAAAATGCAGCGTTATTTTGTCCTGAATTATAAAAAGCGGAATTTTTCTATGTTACATTGCAATATATATTGATACCTCTATGGCGAATAAGTTTGTGTGTGTTAACTTATTCGCCATAGAGGTATCAATATATGTTTTCAGTTTCAATAAGCCAATGTTAGTGTGTGTTAACATTGGCTTATTGAAACTGACTTGATCAATGATTAAACGTTGGATTCACGGCTCCTGTTTTTTAAAGTAAAATTTCCCCCCAAAATAAAGCTATGATTTTTTTTTCAGACTGTTTGAACACAAATGTTTGGAGACGGTGGATCTCGGGACCGAAGTGCGCAATATACAGCTGTCATTTTCTGGCATCGTGGGTGGGTACTCGTCCTTGCTTGTGTTTCTTCGCATGCTTATAAGGTTGTTGTGCTGGTGCTGAAGGTGCTTGACAAGACATCAGCTATAACGGTCACATAGTCAACAAGATTAGAGACGATATCTCAACTAGATAACAGTTTGTAATACAGAACAACCAGTGGCCTCTCGGGGGGGGGGGGCGGGGGGGTCAACATTTAAAGAAATAATACTGTTTTTGGTATGAAAGCAGTTTTCAAATGTGTGTATCATTTCAAATGTACTTTAAAAAATTATCAGGGCCATTGTGTTTAAATGAACGCATTCCGACAGGAGCGTAACTGTGTTTTTGACGCCCTTGGCTAAATTTATTTTTGGCGCCCTTTTGTTTAAATAAAAATTTAAACATTAGAGATTTAGCGGCGCCATTTTGAACTGACGCAGGCCGGCGCCCTTGGCAACTGCCCCAATGCCAAGTCGTTGTTACAAAACTGCATTCCGAGCTAAAGCGTTCAATGTTTACATAACAAAGACTTTACTCGATGTTTGTCATCTCTATATTACGAACTCCCTAAATCCGCCATGGCTGTACAATTTTAGATGAAATGATTACCCTAATGTATACTTTTAGCTCCATTTGCGTCTTAATATGAAACCTTACTTTTTTAAACTTTAAAAAAGGAAGAAAAGCCAGCAGCTACCTTTCACGACTTTCAAGAATCAAAATAGAATCTATTTAAGTTTAAGCTTTATTTTGACACGGTGGATAAACTACGTCATCTGTTAATAGTTAATATTACCGTGACTGCACAATCATTGTTTGCTGCCTTAGTCGTGGGTTCGGTGTTGGGAAATAGTTTAGTTTGATCCCATTCTTCAGACACACGTATTAGTTCTTTATTTTGATAGAATTGATTGATTTTTAAAAAAATTGAGAACATGACAAGCCATAATGACAAATATTTTGTTTCACCAACAGTCAAGCAGAATGTGGTCGTTTTCGATGGGTCTTTTCCTAGCGTCTGTCTCAACGGAGTCCATGCAGCTCAGCGCCACCTATGGTTTGAGCAGGGGCGCTGCAATCCTCCTACTCGGTGCCATAATTGGGGACTGGGTTGACCAAACGCCGAGGCTGAAAGGTGAAACATATGTTGCTTCGTTTCGTGTCATGTTTTGTCAATGTCATTGTTATTGTTTATTGTTTTCCTTATTTTTAAAAGTTCAAGATAAACTTTTGTTTTAAACAGACTGAACCACATTTGCAAGTTTAAAAGAATCATTTCCACTCCATAAATAAGATATAATTTAATGAAAGTGCATAAGTTGAGTTTTCTGAGCGCAATTTTCTAAAAAAGAAATAAATAAAGCTTTTTATTATTCAAGAAATAGTTGTCAGCTTGAAAACGAAACACTGTATCCAGGGGACATTCGTAATAATGTGTATTGAATGATAAAGGCTTTAACGTGAAGGGTTGCCCCATATGGCTTATAAATTTAGATATTGATCTCCTTTAAGAATGTATCTATAAATCAATTCTTCACCCAGCGGCCACGCTGACCATGATTGGCCAAAATGTGCTGGTGTTGTCCTGCTCGTGCGTCATTCTCGCACTGACCATCACCGTGTCGCAGATGGATCACGTGGACACATGGCTCAGGTATCTCCTCTACGCCATCATCATCAGTCTGTCGGTCTCGTCGCGTCTCATGAAGGAGGCGAGGATTCTCGTGATGGAAAGAGACTGGATTGTGGAGATGTGCGACAGGGACGAGCATCACCTGGCAGGTACGGACTCAACAAAATGGGCTCTCAAAAAATATGTCCTCTTTGTTTTTTTTTTTTAGATATGAAATAATTCAATGGGTTGAATGGCGCTTTCATCCCTCCATACCTTTTTGTGATTTACTCTCTTTTAATATAACGTATTTTTGTAATCCATGTGTAATGTTTAACAACATCTATTTTTTTCCTATTAAACCACTAATTATTAGCATTTATTTCATGTCATTCTAGAGCCATGATAAATTATGTCAACACTTGTTTTATTTAGAGTCCCCAATCCACAGTTTTTCTGCAATATCGAAAAAGTATAACGCAGTCTACGCCCATGCCCGGACAAATGTTTTCTTTGAGCCGGACAAATGCCTTCTTTGACCCGGACGAATGCCTTCTTCGATCCGGACAAAGCCTTAATGACCAGGACAAATACCTTCTTTGACCCGGACAAAAGCCTACTATGACCAGGACAAATACCTTCTATGACCAGGACAAATACCTTCTATGACCAGGAATAATACCTTCTATGACCAGGACAAATACCTTCTATGACCAGGACAAACACCTTCTATGACCAGGACAAATACCTTCTATGACCAGGACAAATACCTTCTATGACCAGGACAAATACATGCTATGACAGATTACGCTCTCTTTCACTTTTTAAATAGAGCTTAAAATGATGAATAAGATTATGTTATTTATACATGCACCAGCTGGAGCAACACAACCACGTTGTGCGTATAAATACGTTTAAGAATAATGCCAGATGGGGCTCCATATATCCACCAAAGCTTGGTTATCTCGGCATCCTTCCGTCTCGTGAGACGATGGTGCATCACCGTTGGGTTGGGTTGCATTTTCTCGAGTGGCTGTGCAGTCCTATCCTTGAGTGACAGTCTTTAACCTTATAAAGAGTGGGTAGTGACGGGTAATGATGCTGTTTTCTTTGGGTATTGACTGCTAGTAATGTCCTTTAGTAGATTACTTAGACTAGATGTACTGACACCATGCTAGTTATAAAGCAAGCATATTTGAAATCAGTGAAGGGCTCGCTCTTTAAAAGCGACTGGCAGTGGGGAACACAGCACGGTGGGTATCGAATGTGGGAATTCGGTGCGCACGACGAGGGAAGCAGCGAATGAGAGCGCAAAACGGTTCGCAATGAGAGTAGGGCGAACAATATCAACTCGGGAATTATTACAGATATTTCTCCTTTATAAATACCGATTTTCTAATGCCCTGGAGTTTTGTACTTTTTATCAGTCATGACATCATCATTTCGTCGTATCGATCTCCTCACAAAGATGCTCGCCCCAGTCGCCATCGGCCACATCATGACGTACGCGGGGACGAGTGTCGGTTGTGTCTTCGTGGGCGTCTGGAGTCTTCTGTCACTGGGAGCCGAATACTTCCTGATACGGAGGGCGTACGCCATTGTACCGACGCTGCGATCCAAGAAACACCCGAGGAATGCGCCTGGTAACGGTTGTTTGGTTGCATCCCCTTAATGTAAATATCCTATTGAAATAATAATATACACAGATATTGCTTTAAGTATCATTTGTAAAAAAAATATGGAACACAGAAATCCTGAAAGAAAACTAAACAAATTTGGGACGAACGGATCTTATGCTGTATTCCTAGAGAACAATGCAAAAGTACAAGCATATAACAAGTTCTTTGTAAGCTTTTAAACTTAATATTCTTTATTTGCCATGCTTTTGATCGCTGAAGAAGGCTTTTTGCAGTCACTTATTTTCTGTTTAGTCTTCTTTCACGTTTTCCTTACCATTGGTATTTTATATTTCCATTTGCGCAACCTGATCACGATACCCTTATTGTATTTATTATTTGTTGCAGCAGTAGCGTTTGGTCTGTTACTTAATAGTTACAACATTTTAACATTACAGAGGATCTAAAACTGTATCGCGAGGAAGCTTCCCCTTTTAACGAGATTTCAATTGAGCACTGCACTACCTATGTAAGTAAAACTAAATATAGTTAATAACAGGGCCATCGCGGAACCTCGAATATTTAAGATACCCAGCGTTGTGATGTCGAAAAGAAATAAAACTACCAAATTTAAAATAAAGGGTCACATACACAAATAATGGTGGCCAGGGCACATACACTAAATGGTGGCCGGGGCACAGACACTAAATGATGGCCGGGGCACAGACACTAAATGGTGGCCAGGGAACAGACACTAAATGATGGCCGGGGCACAGACACTAAATGGTGGCCGGGGCACAGACAGTAAATGGTGGCCGGGGAACAGACACTAAATGGTGGCTGGGGCACAGACACTAAATGGTGGCCAGGGCACTGACACTAAATGGTGGCTGGGGCACAGATACTAAATGGTGGCCGGGCACAGACACTAAATGGTGGCCGGGGCATGGACACTAAATGGTGGCCAAGGCACAGCCACTAAATGGTGGCTGGGGCACAGACAATAAATGGCGGCCAGGGCACAGACTCTAAATGATGGCCAGGCCACAGACACTAAATGGTGGCCGGGGCACAGACACTAAATGGTGGCCAGGGAAAAGACACTAAATGATGGCCAGGGCACAGACACTAAATGGTGGCCGGGGCAGAGACACTAAATGATGGCCAGGGCACATACACTAAATGATGGCCAGGGCACAGAGATTAAATGATGGCCGGGCACAGACACTAAATGGTGGCCGGGGAACAGACACTAAATCATGGCCAGGGAACAGACACTAAATGGTGGCGAAGGCACAGACACTAAATGATGGCCAGGGCACAGACACTAAATGATGGCCAAGACACAGACACTAAATGATGTCCGGGGCACGGACACTAAATGATGGCCTGGCACAGACACTAAATGATGTCCGGGGCACAGACACAAAATGATGGCCGGGCACAAACACTAAATGTTGTCCGGGGCACATAGACTAAACGATGGCCGGGGCACAGACGCTAAATGATGGCCAGGGCACAGAGACTAAATGATGGCCGGGCACAGAGACTAAATCATGGAAAATGATGGCATGGCACAGACACTAAATGATGTCCGGGGCACAGACACAAAAGGAGGGCCGGGCACAAACACTAAATGTTGTCCGGGGCACATAGACTAAACGATGGCCGGGGCACAGACGCTAAATGATGGCCAGGGCACAGAGACTAAATGATGGCCGGGCACAGACACTAAATCATGGCCAGGGAAGAGACACTAAATGGTGGCGAAGGCACAGACACTAAATGATGGCAAGGGCACAGACACTAAATGATGGCCAAGGCACAGAAACTAAAGGGTGGCCAAGGCACAGACACTAAATGATGGCTGGGGCACAGACACTAAGTGGTGGCCGGGGCACAGACACTAAATGATGGCCAAGGCACAGACACTAAATGATGGCCAGAGCACAGACATTAAATGATGGCCAGGGCACATACACTAAATGATGGCCGGGGCAGATACACTAAATGATGGTCAGGGCACAGACACTAAATGATGGCCGGGGCACAGACACCAAATGATGACCGGGGCACAGACACTAAATGATGTCCGGGCACAGACACTAAATGATGACAGGGACACAGACATTAAATGGTTGGTGGGGCACAGACACTAAATGATGGCCGGGGCACAGACACTAAATGGTGGCCGGGGCACAGACACTAAATGGTGGCCGGGGAACAGACACTAAATGATGGCCAGGGAACAGACACTAAATGGTGGCGAAGGCACAGACACTAAATGATGGCCAGGGCACAGACACTAAATGATGGCCAAGACACAGACACTAAATGATGTCCGGGGCACGGACACTAAATGATGGCCTGGCACAGACACTAAATGATGTCCGGGGCACAGACACAAAATGATGGCCGGGCACAAACACTAAATGTTGTCCGGGGCACATAGACTAAACGATGGCCGGGGCACAGACGCTAAATGATGGCCAGGGCACAGAGACTAAATGATGGCCGGGCACAGACACTAAATGGTGGCCGTGGCACAGACACTAAATCATGGCCAGGGCACAGACACTAAATGGTGGCCAAGGCACATACACTAAATGATGGCCAGGGCACAGAGACTAAATGATGGCCAGGGCACAGACACTAAATGATGTCCGGGGAACAGACACTAAATGATGGCCAAGACACAGACACTAAATGATGGCCGGGGCACAGACACAAAATGGTGGCTGGGGCACAGACACTAAATGATGGCCTGGGCACAGACACTAAATGATGGCCGGGGCACAGACACTAAATGGTGGCCAGGGCACAGACACTAAATGATGGCCAGGGCACAGACACTAAATGGTGGCCAGGGCACAGACACTAAATGATGGCCAGGGCACAGACACTAAATGGTGGCCAGGGCACAGACACTAAATGGTGACCGGGGTACAGACACTCATTGGCGGCCAAGGGACAGACACTAAATGGTGGCCTGGGCATAGACACTAAATGGTGGCCAGGGCACAGACACTAAATGGTGGCCAGGGCACAGACACTAAATTGTGGCTGAGGGACGCGAACATTTACGCCAAGATTTTGGTTGATAAAGGAACTGGGCATGCTATCAAGTCGTCAATATTTCTGAAAACCCTTCGATTATAGATTACGATTAATTTTGTAAGTTTGAACTGTTATTGTAATCATTATATTTTTAAAGCTAAACCGTAGTTGAGGTTGTTTACTGAATAGGTCAAGGGCTGGAAAGTGTATTTTTTTAAATCTTCAAAATACATCATTATAATGAAGTAATATTTGTTTAAAATAAAAATGTGTTTCATATTGCCAAGTAAGCTCATGTTTATAGCCTTTTTTTCTCCCTGATATGAGATTATTATATTTTTAAAAACATAAATTTTGCCTCCATTTAATTGTTATCAAGTTCGCTATTCTCATGTATAGGAAAGAGAAATAAATGGGACGGGGAGAAGGGGATGGGGGAGAGGGGCGCTTTTGAAAAGAGCTTTTTAATTTTGCTCAGATGGTGCCACTATTATGCCAGGTGTTGCCGAGTCAGCAACACACAAATGGCTATGACCTATGACCTATAACCATCGGCGCCCGCAGGTAGTGGCAAGGTGGGGCACTTGCCCTCCCCCCCCCTGGATTGATTGGATTAAAAAAATTTAGACAAAAATATACCAAAAATTTATTAAAGTAAGGAGAAAATAAAGAGAAAGTAACTAAGCTGATGTCCTATCCGTTCGTTCACCATACAAATACGCTACAGTAAATTAAAACTATATTAAAACATTACTATAATTTTTTTGCCCCCCCTGGAAAGTTAATCAATTTTTTTGCCCCCCCCCCTAGAAAGTTTTCTGCGGGCACCCATGCCTATAACCTCAAGTAATAAACAATACCCGGTAGTAAGTTCTCACTCGACTCTGACATCAAAGTTCTCCTTTTTATGTTAACGTAACAATTTTTTTGCCCCCCCCCCTAGAAAGTTTTCTGCGGGCACCCATGCCTATAACCTCAAGTAATAAACAATACCCAGTAGTAAGTTCTCACTCGACTCTGACATCAAAGTTCTCCTTTTTATGTTAACGTACAAGCTTCAGTAGAGGAACTAGGGTGACACCCTGCCAGTTGGGGGTGAGGGTGACATAAAATTTAAAAAAAATGAAAATTTTCGAGCTCGCTCGAGAGACGGTTTCATTACTGATCGGAGTACAAGAGCAGTTTGCCACCAGACAGCAGGTGACCATCAGCAAAGGATGTCCCCAGAGCATCCAAACCCAGTGACTCCAACCTTAGTGACTCCAACCCTAGTGAATCCAACTCTGGTGACTCCAACCCTAGTGACTCCAACCCTAGTGACTCCAACCCTAGTGAATCCAACCCTAGTGACTCCAAGCCTAGTGACTCCAAACCTAGTGACTCCAAACCTAGTGACTCCAACCCTAGTGACTCCAAACCTAGTGACTCCAAACCTAGTAACTTCAACCCTAGTGACTCCAACCCTAGTGAATCATACTCTAGGGACTCCAACCCTAGTGACTCCAAACCTAGTGACTCCAACCCTAGTGACTCCAAACCTTAGTGACTCCAACCCTATTGCACCCAACACTAGTGACTCCACTGATAAGCTTCATCAAGATAATAGTTTAAGGAGAGCTGGATTTTTTTTTTCTTCCCTCCGGCAGAGACAACCGTCAAAGAGAAGGAAAGCCCGCTGCCATTGGTGGAGGATGTTTGGCACGTTCATCGCGTTGTACCGAGGTCTCCGGATATACGTCAGCTATGACGTCATGCTCACTGGCTTGGCCTTGGCTTCTCTCTACCTCACCGTGCTTGGATTTGATGAAGTAACTATAGGTTAGAGGTCAAGTTTTTGTTTGAAACTTCTATACTCTCTAAACGCCGATCAAACTGCGAACACGTGACGAACTAAAGCTAGTATTTCAAATTGTAGAAACACATGTGTTAAATATATGCAAACGAGGATTTACTTTGATAAAATATCCTGCTATTTGGGCCTCTTGGGTGTTAAACGATTTAAGAGATAACTTGAAATGTAATTGAGGTTATCAAACATGTACCTTAGCGATGGACGTTATGTTAAAAAAATAACACAGCCTAAAAATACAGTTAAAATGATACAACTTTTCAGGATACGCCACTGCCCACGGTTTGAAAGGATCTGTTCTGGGCACTCTGATGGGGACAGGGGCAGGATTTGGTATACTGGCTACATTTACGTACCCATTCATCGTGCGGCGCCTTGGTTTGGCAAACACAGGGATACTGGCTCTAGGCTTGCAGGTAGGCTACATTTCGAATAAATCAAACGATCGATAATCGTTGATAAAAAATGTGAACACTAAAAAGGAATATGATGTAAAAACAAATCATTGCCACTTCCAAAAAAAATTAATAAAAACTGTGCGTTTAATTAATTAACAAAAAGTTAAATTTGTAAAAAAAAATTCTGACAAATCTGTTAGAATTTTAAACAAATATTAATTACATGAAATAGACAACTACAAACTTGGGAATAGGTCAAATAAACGTTGCATAATTATTATATGTTGCACATTTGTGAAAATTGTAGTTATGACGGTTTACATTGTCTAACCAGCCCTGCCATAATAATTTCTAGAAATTTTTAAACTACCTAACGGTCACCCTAACACTAACCCTAACCCTAACGGTCACCCTAACCTAACGGTCACCGTAACCCTAACCCTAACGGTCACCCTAACCCTAACCTAACGGTCACCCTAACCCTAACCTAACGGTCACCCTAACGCTAACCTAAGGTCACCCTAACCTTAAACTAACGGTCACCCTGACCTAACCCTAACTGAACCCTAACCCTACCTAACCCTAACTGAACCCTAACCCTAACCTAAAGGTCACCCTAACCCTAATCCTAACCTAACGGTCACCGTAAACCTAATCCTAACCCTAACCCTAACCTAACGGTCACCCTAACCCTAACCCTAACGGTCACCCTAACCCTAACCTAACGGTCACCCTAACCCTAACCTAACGGTCACCCTAACCTAACTCTAAAGGTCACCTTCAAAGGCACAAGCAAATTTTGCATTCAGCAATAAAAAAAAGGCTATACAAATATTACATATCTTCATTCATTTAAGCCAAGCCTGCACAACTCAAAATGTAAGGCGGGCGGTAACACATTATGAAAAACGTGTGCGGGCCAAAAGAAAATAGGACAGGACTTGTGCGGGCCAAAAGAATACAGGTCAAGGGGAAAGATATTTAAAAAATAATTAGAAATAAAGAGTTTTTCGTTACCTCGCGGGCCACAAAGTGGGTGCTGGCGGGCCACATGCGGCCCGCGGGCCTTACGTTGTGCAGGCCTGATTTGAACATATTAATATCATGAACATGTCTTTCAGGTTACTTGCTTGTCGTTATGCGTGATTTCATTGTGGCTGCCCGGAAGTAATTTTGTACCGGTGTCCAGTTCTGACGTCAACAACTCGTCACACTTTGTCAACCGTTCACTTTCTGACAGGGACGCACTAATTTTACCTTCTAATTCAAACAATATCAGTATCTCAGGATTTATCATGGCAAAGTCGCCCAGATTTCTTCAACTTGCAGAAGGGAATGTCAGTAAATCATTGTCAAACAGTCACGTGATAACTGTAAATAGCAGTGATGAAAAGACACCTGACATCTCTATATGGGTGATGATCGCTGGCGTTGTACTTGCTCGATTTGGTGAGTTTCGTGGTGTGGATTTCAAATGCATGTTAGTTCTTGGGAAAAAATCCACCCTATCCTTCAAAAACATATTTTTGCAAATTAACACAAGTAAATTTAATGGCCTCATTAAATATTACATGATATATCTACACTTCTGACATTCTTGGTATACATTGTTTACTGCTCCGGGATTAAACAGAAACTTGACCCTCTCCCCCATAGGAAGCGACGAGGCCATGACAGGCAGTTCCGGCTCATACCAGCAAGAAGCCAGTATAGGAGCTGCTCATTCCTGCCAAAGACAATCAGGGACTGGAACAAGCTTTCAAAAAAAAAAAAAAAACAGTTGAGGCGACAACACTAGTAACATCTGCGTCTATAGCTTCTAGCCTTCAAACCCCCAGTTTATGATACCCTCACAAAGTAGCCCTTGCAACCAGTGAAATATCCTCTTCAACACCAGACACTGAAACATTGCAAATCCCCTCTACATGCATAGGAGCCAGAATGATCGTGGGGCCTCATAACATAGAAGAAGAATATATGTATGAACTAAGACTCCACTAGACAACTATATTTAAAAAAAAAAAATAATGATCTATTAAATGAAAAGATTATTTCTTAGTTTCAGTCAGGGATCGGAATTTGGATTGTGTGTTTTTTTTTTTTTTTAAATCCTTTTGGATTTATTTAGCATATCAATATATTAACAACAATATTAAAAAAAAAAAAATAATGATCTATTAAATGAAAAGATTATTTCTTAGTTTCAGTCAGGGATCGGAATTTGGATTGTGTGTTTTTTTTTTTTTTGAAATCCTCTTGGATTTATTTAGCATATCAATATATTTACACATGCCATACTGTTGATTATTTTTGAAACTAACAATTTCTTAAAAAATGATTTTCTCCCATTTTTGTAATCAAGCATACCACAAGTAAATTTGATGCGCAATAATTGTTTTTCTTTTAAGGAAAATATTTCCATCTGATGTAACAAATATGTGGGGTAAAAAGGGGGGGTGGGGCATTAGAATATTAATAGAGTTTTATAAAGTGCTTTGCATGAATTAATGTCTTGTCAAGTCATTTTAATAGATGGAAAGTTCACGCATTGCTTCCACCTCTATTTGGAGGATTAAAACTATTCTTTTTATAATTTTAACAACCATTGTGAGTGAGAAAAACTGAACTGTGAACAGTAAACTACTAAGCTATTTTTTTTTACATAACTCACGTATATATTTTCACAATATTCAATTACAGTGTCATGAGGTTGGTACAATTATTCGTAAAGTAATTCATTTTTTATGTGTTGCGTCAATACCATTAGGTCTCTGGACTGCGGACCTGACCATCATCCAGCTGTTTCTTGAAAGGGTCGACACCAAGGAACGTGGCATCGTCAACGGGGTTCAAGGGTCACTCAACCAGCTGATGGACTTTCTTAAATACGGCCTCGTCCACTTCTTGCCCCACATCCATCAATTTGGGATTCTTGTGATCATTTCTTTTGGCTTCATTTGCACAGGCTGGACACTGATGTGTGTGTACGCAATGAAGATGAAAAGAGGGATTTGGTTGGTGGTAAATGGGGATGGGAATGAATGCGACAAAGGGGATTTGGTTGGTGGAAATAAGAGCGTGACTGAACTCGAAAAGGGGGATTTGGTTGGTGGAAATAAGGATGTGAATAAATTAGAAGATTGAACGTGACCATAAAAGAAATCTTTAGTAGCTGGCGTTATTTATAGACACGGGGAGTAACAAATAATCACAATGTAAGAACAGGGATTAAAAAAACCCAAACGAGTTAGTCATAGATTTGAGAGAAAAAGAGAGAAGTGCGGGGAAGATCGAGGTGGGAGAAAGAGATCAAGAGAGATCTGAAAGGGGAGAAAGGACGATAGAAAGAGGGCAGTGGAGAATGTTGGAGACCAAAAGAGGAAGATACAATGATAATAATTTTAATTAATGGATTCTGAAAAAAATACATTGGGTAAAAGAGCACGTTGTCAAATTTTCCAAATCCTTAACCTTTTTATAAAAGAGGCGAGGAACGTGTCCAAGAGCTGCCCCCCCTCCCCCCCATGCCCTTTATTGTATCATTCACCCGCTCCTCTCTTTCACACCAATCCATTTAAAGTGAAAAAAATCCGATAACAAGAATGGTTTGTTGAAAGATAAAATATCAAGCAATTCAAAAGAAAATTATATGGTAATGTTGGTTGTTTATCTAGCTCTTAGCGTAATCAGGACCAATGTTCCCTTTAGGCTGCATGGCTGCGCGGCCGTGCAGCTATCTCACAGACGCCGCGCAGCAGTTTTGAGTATCCGCTCAGCAAATTTCCATGTAAGTGTGTGTTTGTGGGCTGTAAAACTTTGCACACAACTCTATGATTTTGCACACGAACCAACAAACCTTAGAAGGAACATTGATCAGGACCCTAAAATAACGAGCTCCCTAAAGAAAATCAGCAAACTATCAAGCCGATGCTCATCAAGTCTTCCCCAACGTACCCCTCTTCCACCCCCCCCCCAACCCAACTAGCGCTCGAATTCAAGTCAGGCCGCGAAGCGGCATGTCTGGGGCACTCCACCACTGAGACTGCCCCAGTGGAAGACCCTGAACTAAATGATCTGATGTTATAAAAAAAAGAGTACCAACAAAACACCACAAAAAAAAACACAAAAAAAACACCACAAACTTAATGACTCTAAATTAGTTCTGCGGTTTTATAGTTATTGATTTTATTTTAATGGCCAATTTTTCAAAACCTTTCGTTTATGTTAACGTCTTTAAAGTTGTTTATTATTCTTTTGAACCCATTGTCAAGGGTGTGACAGTCACTGTTGTTGTGTGTGGGGTTAACATTAATCTATAATCATTAGAGTGTGAGTGAACAAGGCGTGAGATTGTCATTGACGACATTTTTTAATATTTTTTTTTGGGGGGGGGGGGGGATATATATATATATATATATATATATATATATAATTTGGAACGCCCTTCCGGTCGCTCTAAGAAACAGCCATACACTGGAGTCCTTTAAAACCGTTTCAAAAACACATCTATTTCGCAAACACCTTCTGGGATGATGATATCTACCATCTTTTTTCAGTTAATGTATATTGGCCTGTGTTGTTTATGGTTGAAACGGAATGAAAGACTTTGACTTGGTATGCTCGTATGTAGCTTTACTTTGTTGCGTCTGTTTTTAAATGTGGTAAATTTTAGATTGTTTTTATTTCTCTTTTTAATATGGTTGACTTTGTACTGCGCTTCGAGCTCTTGGGGATGAAGCGTGTTTTTCAAAAAAACGTTATTATTATTATTAGTATATATATATATATATATATATATATAGATATATATATAGTGTGTCAGGAGAGAGACGGGTAGATGGAGCTGACGGATACATGTAGTTGTGCCAGGTCCCTTCATGCCTGTTGTTCATAAGGATTTGATTATGCGAATCGAAAGGATTATTATTGACTCTTGATGGTACGGATTCTGGCATGTGAATGTCTGAGTAAGATAAAGGCGTCTGTTATTTCACATCTACTACTGAGGACTTTGGTGATTTGTGATGCGTGGCCTGTCTTCTCAGTGCGGAGTACCAGAGCGTACCTGTCCGGTTGTATGACGTAACCAACAGCCAGTGTGCGTGATAACAATAGTAACACCCATTGGTACAGAAAAATAACTAGAGAATTTTTAAGTGTTATTTCGTTGTACAATTACAATTGATTTTTCAGCTTTTCGTAAACAATTTACGCTGGTTTTGTTTAGTTTCGCTTTTTCCTGGTTCCTTAAATAGCATTGTGGGGTCCTCATGGGGTAGGATGCACTACAATTCACCGCAGCGTCGATTCGCTGTTCATCGTAATGATAACCGAACACGTTGTTGTATTTCATGTTTATAGAATGTGTTTTTATTTTTGTCGTTCCTGTCGACACTACGTCACCACTACGTCGGCACTAGCATAAAAATCTACTGAACGAAGGAGAAGCCTGTGATTAATCCTCGTCCTCAAAAAGCTGTCCGTATGAGAAGCTGGCCTCGTCCGCTACTTGACTGTCTTGTGTGTATCTTGTACTTTTCTTGCCTGGTTTGTTCAGTGGTGCCTGTGAATATTAAATACATTCGTTATCATGTTTTTTTCAGTGGTACCTGTCAACACACATACATTCATAATCAGGTTTATTCAGTGGTACCTGTCAACACACATACATTCATCATCACGTTTGCTTCTAATACAATTTTTACTACGATAACGTAAGTACATAACATTTCTCTAACAATTCATCAGATAAAGCGATGAGACTCCATGCAACTGAACATTCCTAAGATATAACATTTACACTCCATCTGAACAGCAGGTGCGCTTGAACTATTTCCTCATCATTCACCAACGTCAACATTTATAGCAAGTTGGCAATTTTGCTCAGTCAAACACTATTCAATCGTAGATAACTATGTTTTAGATGGACACATGCAATTCCAACCTACATCTTCGTCAAGAGAAGTGGGCGCCTTGCTCAAGATGTAACACAGGGGGCAGTAGATGACATTAACTACGGCCATGCCTCGCATCAGCCTAAACGAGATTAGGGTGTACTTTTATTTCACAGTTATAAAGAGACACACATTTTAAAAATTCATGTTTACATGAGTTGTGTTTACATGAATTGTGTTTAAGTGAGTTGTGTTTAAGTGAGTTGTGTTTACATGAATTGTGTTTACGTGAGTTGTGTTTAAATGAGTTGTGTTTACATGAATTTTGTTTACAAGAATTGTGTTTACAAGAGTTGTGTTTACATGAGTTGTGTTTATATGAGTTGTGTTTGCATGAGTTTTTTTTTGCATGTGTTGTGTTCGTATGAATTGTGTTAGCATGAATTGTGTTCACATGAGTTGTGTTGACATGAGTTGTGTTTATATGAATTTTGTTTACATGAGTTTTGTTTACATGAATGTGTTTACATGAATGTGTTTACTTGAGTTGTGTTTACATAAGTTGTGTTTACATAAGTTGTGTTTACATGAGTTGTGTTGACATGAGTTGTGTTTAATGCATGAAATAGAAAGTAGGTACTCGTTTGATGGAAACGCTTAATCAACAGCTCGTCACCAACATTACAGGAACAACAACCGTTAGAGTAAATGAAACCTGGTGTACTGCACACGCCCAAATGATGGTGTGAAAGTTGTATCGCAAGTAGAGTTTCCTAGCATTAGCTTAACCATCTTGGCATCGCATTATGGACATTGAAGTAGCAGACCCGTGTATTAATCAAATGATTTATGGTCATGTAAGTCGCAGAGTCATGTACTAATCAAGAGCCTTATGGTCATGTAAGTGGCAGAGCCATGTACTAATCAAGAGCATTATGGTCATGTAAGTGGCAGATCCGTGTACTAATCAAGAGCATTATGGTTATGTAAGCAGCAGACCTTTGTACTCATCAAGGCGCTGGTCAACAAGAGTCATTATTAACCCACACAGGACTGAGCTGACATCACGTGGTCCCCCAAATAGCCCACCCCGTGGTTTGTTCTGTGCTGTCCACCCACCAGCCCACCAGTACACTCCGTATACCGTCCCCACTGGCCTGCAGTGGTTGGGCTGAGAGCTTACAGGATTACTGGGCGTGTGTGACATCCATGACTTTACTGCTCTCCCCCTTTTAAACTCGCTGAGATAATCCTGTCATCAAACAACACAATAAAATGGCTGACATGGCCTGGGGCCCTCAAGCGGCAACAACTGGCTGAGACGTCCGATGTTTAGAGTCTCTCTACAAGAATTCTTGAATATAGATATTATTAATATTAACTTAAGTGGATGATGATATTCAAGTTTCCCTTAGGATCCACTTTAAAAATTCCAAATCTTTAAATTAAAAGGTGGCACATAGGAACTAGCTAACAATGTTAAACACAGAGAAACTAGCTACCAATGCTAAACACAGAGAAACTAGCTACCAATGTTAAACACAGAGAAACTAGTTACCAGCGTTTGACTCACCAAGGGAATCCAACAGCCTTCACAACCATTCCTGCGGCAAGAGGACCTTTGGGAGATATCATTTTATTTGAATGAGATCCTCAAAAGCATTAGTTCTAAGAACTAGATTTTAAAAGTAAACTATTTTTCACGTTACTGAATCCTTCGTATCAAACACTTAAGAGAAACTATTGAATGATAAAAGGTGGTTGAGGCCGCACTACTTTGCCAAACTAGCCCTTGAAATCAGTGAAATACCCTCATCAACACCAGGCACAGAAACATTGCAAATCCCCTCTACATGCATGTTAGCCAAAATGATCAATAAATTGATCTTGGGCCTTTAATATATAGAAGAAGAGTCTATAAGAGAGTTTGTTAAATACTGACAAAACACACCAAAAAATAGGACATCACTAATGTAAATTTGGATATGTTTTGTAGATTTATTAGTAGCGTCTGATCAGTAGCTTTTGTAAAAAAATAAAACTGTAGGCATTCCACTAATAAGAAAAGCCTAACATGACTTACCAAAAGAGTCAGCCAAATATGACTTATCAAAAGAGTTAGCCAAACATGACTTACCAAAAGAGTTAGCCAAACATGACTTACCAAAAAGAGTCAGCCAAACGAGACTTACCTAAAGAGTTAGCCAAATATGACTTACCAAAAGAGTCAGCCAAACATGACTTACCAAAAGAGTTAGCCAAAAATGACTTACCAAAAGAGTTAGCCAAACATGACTTACCAAAAGAGTTAGCCAAAAATGACTTACCAAAATAAAAAGTCAAACATGACTTACCAAAAGAGTTAGCCAAAAATGACTTACCAAAATAAAAAGTCAAACATGACTTACCAAAAGAGTTAGCCAAAAATTACTTACCAAAAGATTTAGCCAAATATGACTTACCAAAAGATTCAGCCAAACATGACTTACCAAAAGAGTTATCCAAATATGACTTACCAAAAGAGTTAGCCAAACATGACTTACCAAAAGAGTTAGCCAAATATGACTTACCAAAAGAGTTAGCCAAATATGACTTACCAAAAGAGTTAGCCAAATATGACTTACCAAAAGAGTTAGCCAAATATGACTTAACGAAAGAGTTAGCCAAAAATGACTTACCAAAATAGAAAGTCAAACATGACTTACCAAAAGAGTTAGCCAAAAATGTGTACCAAAAGAGTTAGCCAAATATGACTTACCAAAAGAGTTAGCCAAACATGACTTACCAAAAGAGTTAGCCAAAAATGACTTACCAAAATAGAAAGTCAAACATGACTTACCAAAAGAGTTAGCCAAATATGACTTACCAAAAAGAGTCAGCCAAACGAGACTTACCTAAAGAGTTAGCCAAATATGACTTACCAAAAGAGTTAGCCAAACATGACTTACCAAAAGAGTTAGCCAAACATGACTTACCAAAAGAGTTAGCCAAACATGACTTACCAAAAGAGTTAGCCAAACATGACTTACCAAAAGAGTTAGCCAAACATGACTTACCAAACGAGTCAGCCAAACATGACTTACCAAAAGAGTCAGCCAAATATGACTTACCAAAAGAGTCAGCCAAACATGACTTACCAAAAGAGTTAGCCAAATATGACTTACCAAAAGAGTCAGCCAAACATGACTTACCAAACGAGTCAGCCAAACATGACTTACCAAAAGAGTCAGCCAAATATGACTTACCAAAAGAGTCAGCCAAACATGACTTACCAAAAGAGTTAGCCAAACATGACTTACCAAAAGAGTTAGCCAAATATGACTTACCAAAAGAGTCAGCCAAACATGACTTACCAAAAGAGTTAGCCATACATGACTTACCAAAAGAGTTAGCCAAATATGACTTACCAAAAGAGTTAGCCAAATATGACTTACCAAAAGAGTTAGCCAAACAGGACGTACCAAAAGAGTTGGCCAAATATGACTTACCAAAAGAGTTAGCCAAACATGACTTACCAAACGAGTCAGCCAAACATGACTTACCAAAAGAGTCAGCCAAACATGACTTACCAAAAGTGTCAGCCAAACATGACTTACCAAAAGAGTCAGCCAAACATGACTTACCAAAAGAGTTAGCCAAACATGACTTACCAAAAGAGTTAGCCAAACATGACTTACCAAAAGAGTTAGCCAAACATGACTTACCAAAAGAGTTAGCCAAACATGACTTACCAAAAGAGTCAGCCAAACATGACTTACCAAAAGAGTTAGCCAAACATGACTTACCAAAAGAGTTAGCCAAACATGACTTACCAAACGAGTTAGCCAAATATGACTTACCAAAAGAGTTAGCCAAACATGACTTACCAAAAGATTTAGCCAAACATGACTTACCAAAAGAGTCAGCCAAATATGACTTACCAAAAGAGTTAGCCAAATATGACTTACCAAAAGAGTTAGCCAAAATTGACTTACCAAAAGAGTTAGCCAAACATGACTTACCAAAAAATTTAGCCAAACATAACTTACCAAAAGAGTTAGCCAAATATGACTTACCAAAAGAGTCAGCCAAACATGACTTACCAAAAGAGTTAGCCAAACATGACTTACCAAAAGAGTTAGCCAAACATGACTTACCAAAAGAGTTGGCCATATATGACTTACCAAAAGAGTAAGCCAAATATGACTTACCAAAATAGAAAGCCAAAACATGACTTACTAAAAGAGTTAGCCAAACATGACTTACCAAAAGAGTAAGCCAAACACACAGCGAGCTGAGCAATGGCGTACACACACCCATAGAAGGCCTCGTTCCTGACGTCAACAAGCAGTGCCAGGAAGGGCATAATGGCAGCGTCGGTAACTCCTGTAGATCGACGGTATCATAATACAAAACATGCAATAGCAAATGAGTCGATCACTTCCCCTTTAATTTTTTTTTTTTTTAATTTTTGGTTTAGATTCTAAATTATAGCTGGCGTCTCAGTTCACATCTGAGCTTGTCTTTGATCAAAAAGATTAAATGGATTAGTTAATATGCAGTGGGTCTAGAGAAGAGCATTCAAGAGATCACTTTTAAAAACTATGGACTTAACGGGATGCTCAGAGTGTCGAGTATGGCACAGTGGATATTGTGTCCATAAAGTATAAGGGATCTTGAAATATACTTCTCGATCACCATATGGAATCAACACTCCAAATGCGTGATTTGCTTTGCTGATACAAGCGTTGATTTCCTTGTTACATTCTCCAACTGTTGTGACTCTGCTCCCAAAGTAATAATAATAATAATAATAAAGCTTATTCGAAAATCACGCTTCATCCCCAAAGGCTCGAAGCGCGGTACAAAGTCATCCACATTAAAAGAGAAATGAAAAAACTCCTTTTTTTTACCACATTGGAATACAAAGCGCAACATTATGAAAACTACATACGAGAATACCCATCCTAAGTCTTTCATCCCTTGCAACCATGAACAACACAGGGCACTATACACCTAGGAGATAATAGTTAGCTGAAGAAGATGGTAGACAGGTGTTTGGGAAATAGATATGTTTTAAAATCGGTTTGAAAGACTCCAGTGTCTGGCTGTTTCTGAGAGCGACAGGAAGCGTGTTCGAAATTGTTGGGCCAGCAAAGTACTCCAACATATTCAAGTCTTTCTAGTGGCTGATGTTCCATGTTTGTATTCTCCAAGCTGACATTTTTACATTGACATCCGTTGTTCTGGGGACAACTTTAAGGTATATGATACCCACAGTCTCAACTATAGCCCCTTGGTCTTCTTGATGCCCATCTTGATAATTGCCGGACAATGTTCATATCTCTTCATCTAGGTCCAGATAGTCCAGCACTCTCTGTTTGTCTGTATGTCTGTATGTGACGTGAGTTACTCTTATAATATAAATATTATATCGAACACCCCCTTTTAAAATTCGTTTTTCATCTTTTGTAATACTATTTAAATATATATCCTAACCCAGTTAACATGACTTACCTAAGCCAAGGCCAAGGCCAAAGTGTGGTAAAATAAGTTGTGGTACGGCCGTGGCAAACGGAAGCTGAAACAAAACAATAAAATTTAAAAAAAAACATAAGTCCTTATTTTATAAATATCAACTATTTTTTCATGATTAATATGAAACAAATGGAAATTATATCTTCTACACACAGTTGCACTGTTGTAAAAAGCACTATGGTCAAACGGAATCTATGGTGCCGTCGCTTTTTGGCTTTACGTAATTTGTATACTTACATAAGTAAATCGAGGCGCCACTAACTCTGAAATCTTAACATGCCTAATTCGTTCTAAGCTGTGCCCTAAATATTATCTATGGATCATTTCAGGAGCCAGACATGTATGGATCAAATGTATGGATCAAATGTATGGATCAAATGTATGGATCAAATGTATGGATCAAATGTATGGATCAAATGTATGGATCAAATGTATGGATTAAATGTATGGATCAAATGTATGGATCAAATGTATGGATCAAATGTATGGATCAAATCCGTTGTATTTTTTTTTTTTTACGTTTCACTCATAATAATTATCTCTATAAATCATATATTCAAGTACGTCTGGCTGCAGGCCCGCACCTGGGGAGAAGGGGGGGGGTGTACAACCTTGTCACTTGTCAGGGGCCCGAGCTAGATAGGGAACCGCCCATTTCGAGTTTTAAAATACACGCACATGTTTGAAATACGAAAGGGGCCCGAACTCTGTCAGCTGCTCGGGGCCCATAATTTCCTAGGTGCGGGCCTGATGGCTGTCATGATATGTTCAATAGTCCCGCATCAAATAATAATAACAATAATTCGAAGGAATTGGCAATAATTGGGATTCTTAAAAAGTGCGTTACTGAAATCTTACTTTAAGAAATGGCGTCAGCGGGCCGTCGAGCTTGTGCTCTTTATGCCTTCCCCAAAACACCCCTCCCCAACCCGGTATCGGGCCGCGGAGCGGCACGTCGGGGATGTTTCTTTGTCAGGCCAGCCCCCCACCCGAGTCTGCTCGACCAGGGTCTCCGCCGGAGGCCGTCCTAACCCAAAGACATCCGGTCGGTCCGACACTGTGTTTGCGCACAGTGCACACGATCGACTTTCTCAGGAGTCGGGATGGAAAAATTTACGTCCTAATATCTTCCCTCACCCATCTCGGGGAAGAGTTAGGCGCCTTATATGAGGGATTCTACCGTGGGTTTCCACAGCGCAACTAATTCGTGAGGCAGCTGGTACGAAACTTGAATACATGATTTGTCAAGAACTTTCATAGATCGGAAGTTCAAGCACTGCCGCCACCATTGTTTGGCGGGTTCTTTCTGGTTAACAAATAAAAACGTTGATGAGGTAACGAAAACATTACATTAACTAGGAAAATATTCTAACATTTAAAAAAGAGCGTTTACTCACACAAACTTGACACAGGGCAATCAATAACATGCAGAAAAGTGTACAGGACCATCTACAAATTGAGGAAGACATAAAGTTAGCACGCGTTACTTTGTCCATATCGGACAAATAAGAAAATGCATTTATAATTAAATTTTCGAAAAATAATTCTTAAAAATTGTAACATTTTATATTTGCAATCCACTAATTGAATTAAAAAGAAGTACTTGTCAATACAATGTTTAGCTTGATAAAACGACAATAAATTATCTTGCACTTATGTCAAAGTTTGCATTTGTCAAACAATGCCTTCAATTTGGTTTAACAATTTTTCTTCTCCTATTTTTAAGGGTATTTCTTCGTCAATCTGATCTTCTTTACCTGCCAATCCTTTGAGCAACAATTCCAAAACAGTTTGTCCCTATCAGATACCCAAGAGAGTCCGGTAGGAAAATAAGTCCTTGAAAGGGGGAGACAAAATGGCATCTAGTCATTGAACTTTGTTGTATTGCCGGATACAAAATTATGGGCAATATCTTCAAGAAAAAGTTATTTTATTATAAGTGGGAAAAAATAGTCAGAATTTAGATTTTTTTTACAAATAAATAAGCCGCTATAAATAGTTTAAATATGATCATAAATGTCTCACCCAGCTCCCAGTTCTTAACATGCATGAATCCCATGACCCACAGCGGGACCGTTGGTTCCAGCACAGACATGGACATTGTGGTCAGCCAGACAGCTCCTGGGGAGTGCACACAGTATATTCTTTTACTATGGTCTGTGTGTTTGTAGCGTGTTTTTATTAATTGTTTTTTTTAAAACGCGAGGCAATAAAATTGAGAGAGAAGGAAAGAGAGAGAGAGAGTGACAGAGAGAGAGAGAGAGAGAGAGAGAGAGAGAGACTAAGAAAGAGAGAGAGCGAGAGAGCGGGAGAAATACAATTTTGGTTTGTCTCTTTCAGGTGTGTGTTATGTTTATTTTTTTTTAAAATGTGAAAATGTCTGGTTCCGAGAGTCATGTAACATTCACTGTTTGCACCAAGAAACAATCTTTCAGTATTTCTACATTTTGGCACCGTTCTAAAAGAACGTTAGGAGGATTCTAGTCAGGATATGACGTTTGGAATTATTTATTTTTTTTTATCAATCCACCAAACATATCATGTATAGTGTCTTCTGCATGATCCGGTGTCATGAGTCTTAAAACCCCAGCAGCACTGAACATCACAGTTTTAAGACTAATGTCTCTTACACTCATTTATCAAAGCTTTGAAATTAGATTAGAAGATCTGATGGCTTAGCAAAAGTCTATTTGTTGTGCTAATTAAAATGTATGAAATATTTAAATGGCTAACCATAAAATCTGTACGTTATAAAAATAGTATTTTATGCATATTTCGTCTGAAAAGCTTTAAATGATAAGAGGAACAGAAAGGGGCATGTTAACTCAACTGTGGCTATCATAATTTTGCATGTTGAATGTCGACTACTGTGTTAACTCAACTGTGGGTATCATAATCTTGCATGTTGAATGTCGACTACCGTGTTAACTCAACTGTGGCTATCATAATTTTGCATGTTGAATGTCGACTACCATGTTAACTCAACTGTGGCTATCATAATTTTGCATGTTAAATGTCGACTACCATGTTAACTCAACCGTGGCTATCATAATTTTGCATGTTGAATGTCGACTACCATGTTAACTCAACTGTGGCTATCATAATTTTGCATGTTGAATGTCGACTACCGTGTTAACTCAACTGTGGCTATCATAATTTTGCATGTTGAATGTCGACTACCGTGTTAACTCAACTGTGGCTATCATAATTTTGCATGTTGAATGTCGACTACCATGTTAACTCAACCGTGGCTATCATAATTTTGCATGTTGAATGTCGACTACCATGTTAACTCAACCGTGGCTATCATAATTTTGCATGTTGAATGTCGACTACCGTGTTAACTCAACTGTGGCTAACATAATTTTGCATGTTGAATGTCGACTACCGTGTTAACTCAACTGTGGCTATCATAATTTTGCATGTTGAATGTCGACTACCATGTTAACTCACCTACAGCTATCAGTATGTACCTATCCCTGAGCAGGACATGCAGCGGCGTGATGTCCGTGTATGACTGAAACGTAAATGTTAAAATAATTGAATAACAATTAGTGTACTTCTGATGTTAGAAAGAAGACATATATATAATTATATAAACCTATTTCAATTTTTATAGGGATTTAGGAGTTACATAGATTTACGTCTGTTGTCAGTAGAGGGCGTTTTTTTTCCGTGTTCCGACTAAAATATTCATGTTTACCGTAAGTCTTCCTGTTCGATCCCTGCCTCATCCCAGTGATAAAATGAAGGGAATGATAAAATTTTAACAATAATTGTATAGTTATATTTAGAATTATAAGGTAGGCTTCATGCCATGGGACCCTTGGGTTAGCTTCCTGTAAAGGTAAAATATGATCCCGGCTCATCTGTGGTCTGTGTAACAACTGATCCTTATTCCTCATTCTGCATTCTTTTTATAACTCACATCACATGATTCACATCACATGATTCACATCACATGATCATTCACTCTCTTTATCCAACCAATATCCACACATTTAAGTTTAAACATTCACGGAAACAATTCACCACGTCCAGTTATACAACATGACAACAACACCGGCCAATCAGGTCACAAAATTCACTCAATAAACGCAACAATAATCGTCGGTCACACATACTGTCACACTTCACCAGTAGTGATGTTTTGTAATGGATTTGTTTGGGTCAAGTTTAGCATGGGTCTAGTTCGCTGAACAAATCTTCGTCTTTATGTGACATCTTATGATAATCTTGGTCTTACATGTGACATCTAATGATAATCTTGGTCTTACATGTGACATCTTATGATAATCTTGGTCTTACATGTGACATCTAATGATAATCTTGGTCTTACATGTGACATCTTATGATAATCTTGGTCTTACATGTGGCATCTTATTATAATCTTGGTCTTACATGTGACATCTTATGATAATCTTGGTCTTACATGTGACATCTTATGATATCTTAGTCTTGCATGTAACATCTTATGATAATCTTGGTCTTAAATGTGACATCTTAGGATAATCTTGGTCTTGCATGTGACATCTTATGATAATCTTGGTCTTACATGTGACATCTTATGATACTTTAGTTGTACAGGTCACCACTGCTGTTTGGTGACACCATGGCAATGTTGGGAATATACACCTTCATGACATTATGTCAGCAATGGGCAAGGAGTCTATGACTCGCTGATCTGACCTCTGGGCACTTCTTCTACATCGTTATATTAACTTAGTGTCCATGGATTTCTGACATTATATAGCGTCTTTTTTAAGAAAGATTTGGAGTTGAAAGGACTGGGTATGTTATAAGAAAATGATCTAAGCAGTTGTGCCGCCTTTAATATTCCACACTGTATTGTTTAATAAGGAGTTGCTAAAACTCACTTCTCTCTTGACATGCACACCAAAGACAAACCACTGCAAACCTAGACACCAAAACAAAAAAAAAAATTGTATTTTTATACTTTAAAGTAAAACATTTTTTTTTATGAAAGGGAACATCGTAACATATAATCAATTCAAATTTTAATCCGACAAATACCACGGTGAAAACGACATATTTCTTAAAAGGTAGCTTGAGAATCTCACAAGCCAAAGCCGTGTCTTGAGTTTCAGCTACCTAGACTATAGAATTTATCTAATGGTCTAGAATTCTCTAGAACTGTGTCTTCGAGCAGTTTAGCATCGCTAATAACTAACTCATATACTTAGGTAAGGGAAAACTAAAATCCGAACCTAAGTCGTATAGATAGTATTAACAACATTCTAGTTATACAAGCATAAAGGTTAGAGAATTTGTATAATTTAATGCTCTTTATTTATACTTAAATAAAATTCTCTCTTGGAAAATAAACTTGCTTTAAAGTCATTTAGATTATTCATATATCAAGATTAAATATTTTTATTAATTGTTTATGCACACAAAAAATGACACTTTTTTTTTTTTGCTTCTTAAAAATAAGAAATACTATTTTAACAATAACTAATCATAATTAATTTAATATTCTTAGTTATTTCATAAGGAGTTCAAAAGTTTAACCCAAACCATATATTTAAAGACAGTTTAACTAATTTTAATGAATGAAGTCAATTTTTTTTTAAATTATATTTTTATTTCATGTGCTACAAATTCCAAAGGCATCTATCAAGCGCTGAGTTGTATACACAACAATAGGATTTTAGGCATTGTTAAAATTTAAAACATAAAAGTTAAATACAAGAAGCAGTGAATTATAAAAGAGTAGTTACCTACGTCAAGGAGGAGAAGGCCGGCTATGACGAGAAATGCCACCGTCTTTCCGACGAAAGTGTACATGATTCCACCAAAAGGATAACCCACTTCGTCAGAAAAAAAATAAAACGCATTGATTATCTCCCTTCATACTTGCTCTATTGAACGTTCCAATTTTATATTTTTAAACGCCAAAAAAAAAAAAAAAAAAAAATAACTTAGGAATGAATGTAATTTTATATTTTTAAACACCAAAAAAAAAAAAAAAAAAAAAAAATAACTTAGGAATGAATGTAACAGAAAACTATTAAAAGTAATAAAATAACAACATTATGTTTACGCGATTGGTTCCAGGCACAATAAATAATATATAAATAATGAGCACCCTTTACAGCTTGTGGTTTTTTGTGAGTGAGCTGCGGTAACATCAAGAACCGCCCGCCCCGGGGGGTCACAAACTCTTGGCCCCTGCACTGCATGAAGGGGTGTATTGCTGACGCTGTAGGCTGACGTCATTCAAGTACCCATGAAATAATGAACCGGCAGAGCACCGCTCGAGGAAGCCGTCCATTGTACACGTGACACTAGCGGACATTCTCTTGAGTTTTATTGAAACTATGTTTATCTATACAAGTATAAGATAACCTAAATCTGACACCTTCTGTAACAGAATTAATTTTAACTTTTCATTGTCCAAAAACAAAAACAAAAGGAGGGGGGGGGGTTAAACTGTCTAATAATATTAGTTATATATTACTAGCAGTGGCGTCCCTTGATTAAACTCTCAAAACTGCAGCTCCTAGCGCACACAAAATGTATATATTGTTATATATTTATCCCAAAAGCGACGAGTACTTTCATAGTGTTTGTGTCCAATGTGGTCACCCCTTTTGCACCCACCAACTAGATTAGCAACTGAGTACTAATTTGTTCGTGCATGGTTTCCTAATAATCTAAGTTAAAAAAATATTGGAAACTGACCATGATACACACATCTCTAAAATTTGATATACACATTCATCCCCCCGCCCATTAAAATAATAAATTCTATATGTTCAACACCACACACTCCCCATCTCCACGTGTTTTCTATTAACATTGCCGAGTGGGACAAGGCTGTGACGCAGCGAGCTTCATGTGTAATTTAGGGTTGTTCTTTTTTCTCTATGGGGAGGCGACTATTATTCGGTATTTTTTATTATTCGTGTTTCTCTGTCACACGGCGAGCTTCATGCGTGACCTCTGAACTCTGGCATAAATAGGTTTGTTTGTTTGTTTTTTTTTTTTGTTTTTTTTTTAATAGGAATTTTTTTGGTTAAAAATGGCACTGATTTTCAAATCTCTTTTCTGGTTCTGCGATTGTTATTTCGTAAGTCTTCGTTATAAAATGAACGGCAGTGTCTTCTCTACCGACGGGTTTTTTTTTTTGTTGGTACAACGTCATCTCTATTCCAGGATCCGGGGCAACTGACTGTTCCTACCAGTGGGCTATCTCATGACACAAACGGTTGACGAAGGCGATGCACTCTCACTACCACACAGGCCGGTACATTTCGTTGCATATTATAGAAAATGAGAAGTTAACCCTCTTACTACTACACCCGGACCTGGTTTAAAAAAAAAAAAAAAAAGCTGCAACCGGCAAAGCACTAGTATGCAATATTGGACTAAAACTTGAGATTTACGGTTACCGGAAATTAGATCGAAAGAAATTTCGTCGACGGTAAATTGATCGACGGTTATTTGATCGACCGAAATTTGGTCGAATCTTGTTTTCAGGTCACACGTTAAAATTTTCGTCAAATTTCTTTTTGAACGCACCAATACTATAAAGTAAAACAAAATAATGCGTTCAAAAAGACTTTTGAGGCAAAATTTAAACGTAAAAACGGAAAAAAAGATTCGACCATATTTCCGTTCGATCAAATTACCTTCGATCAATTTACCGTCGACGAAATTTCTTTCGATCAAATTTCCGGATACGTAGATTTACATCTGGTAGTTTCCTAAGGAAAATGTATCTGTAAAGAAAGGCAGATTAGCTATTACCTGCTGATTAATCGGTTCAACCCTAACGAAGTGCATTGTCCGTTTCTTCTGAAGTAAATAACCCTTGTAATAACATAACATCTCTTGGCTGCCCCATGACATCATTTATAACATAACATCTCTTGGCTGCCCATGACATCATTTATAACATAACATCTCTTGACTGCCCATGACATCATTTATAACATAACATCTCTTGGCTGCCCCATGACATCATGTATAACATAACAGCCTGTTCCAAGGATCTGTCATTCCCTTTCTCAACGGCCAGTTTACCTAGCACTCCAAAGGCGGCACCTCCCATTGAGATCCCCATGGCTTGGCTGCGACTCTTGTCGTCTGGATACCTTCTGGCTACAATACTCATACCTGAGAGGAAAGGTACATGACGTCACGCATTTCATTAACATCGTGTTTAGCTGGCAGAGTAAAAGGGTGTGGCCGGAGGGTTTTTAAAAAAAAAATCAATTTCCAGATGTCTTTTGAGATAATAGAATAAAAGATTGGTGAATATGCATATACTGTATCAAATATCAACTTTATTTGTGTCTTTCGTCACCTGCAATAATGGCTGCTGCAGACCCCAGTCCCTGGACAGACCGGGCAATGAACAATGGGATGTAACTCTCTGCGAATGCGAAAACTTATGGAAAAAAATATTTCAATTATTGCTTTATTTTTTCAAGATTTTAAAAATTCTATGAGACAATGCTAAAATACACGTTTATAAGTGATGAAATGTATGCATTACTTTGTGGTTAGAGGCTAACTTAATGTATATTGTTGGGATTTGTGTGTGTGTGTATGAGAGTGAGTGAGTGAGTGAGTGAGTGAGTGACTGAGTGAGTGACTGAGTGAGTGACTGAGTGAGTGACTGAGTGAGTGACTGAGTGAGTGAGTGAGTGACTGAGTGAGTGACTGAGTGAGTGAGTGACTGAGTGAGTGACTGAGTGAGTGACTGAGTGAGTGAGTGAGTGAGTGACTGAGTGAGTGAGTGAGTGACTGACTCACTGAGTGAGTGAGTGAGTGAGTGAGTGAGTGAGTGAGTGACTGACTCACTGAGTGAGTGAGTGAGTGAGTGAGTGAGTGAGTGAGTGACTCACTGAGTGAGTGAGTGAATGAGTGAGTGACTGACTGACTCACTGAGTGAGTGAGTGAGTGAGTGACTGACTCACTGAGTGAGTGAGTGAGTGACTGACTCACTGAGTGAGTGAGTGAGTGAGTGACTGACTCACTGAGTGAGTGAGTGAGTGAGTGACTGACTGACTCACTGAGTGAGTGAGTGAGTGACTGAGTGAGTGACTGAGTGAGTGAGTGACTGAGTGAGTGAGTGAGTGACTGAGTGAGTGAGTGAGTGAGGGAATGTTTTATAAATGAATTTTTGAGCACTTACCAACTGATGAGATGAAAACAATAACTGTACCGCCAAAAAGAAGCAGTGGGTATCCAACTCTAGATGGTAAGGAATCGTTCAAAAGTTACCAGTACATGAACAATAGTAACTGGAAAATATATCAAGTATAAAACACGCCCCTTTGCAGTAAGCTTCTAATAGTTACATGAGGTTAAAGCTATCGTGTACTACGCTACTAAGTAAGGTGTTTAACGCATAAAGTGTTATATCGACCTGATTTATGGCGTTATTTCATCTGTAAAAAATATGTGCAGATGTGGCAATTTTTATTTATAGGTGCCATTAAAAAGGACTGCGTTGCAAACGATCACCCTTAAAATACTGGCAATTTCAGCAATTCACCGTAAAAGACCACACGAAACATTTAAAGGTACCTAATTATATCATTAGATAATGATACAATTCAAGTATATTAACTTAAATTCAAAGACCTTATCATGGAGGCTTAAAAACAGTGAGAATATAGAATATAGAATATAGAATATAGAATATAGAATATAGATACCTATGTCAGATGGATTAAGCTTTATAACCGTATATATCATAGACTTTATTTTGAGAATAATAAATTTAAAACCGTTTATAAGAAAGTCATGTTTAATACCCTGCTAGGTATATTAATGAGACTCAAAGTTTTCATCTATTCACTTTTAGAGTCCCTGGTTAACTTGATCAAAAAACTTTACACAAATTGTTTCGACTTACTTGTTACACAGCGGCCCAACCAACAAGTTGGCAAACAGCTGCACGACGGCCTTGGACGACAGCAACCACCCGACGCGGCCATTTTCGCTGAACGCGGCTGCTGCAAGTTGGAACTTGTGATGATAGAACAGACTCTCGTTGGTCCCCGTGGGGCTCAGTGAGACATTGGAACAAGGCGTGTAGTCGGACAGGTCGGTCAGTTGAGGGAGATGGGTGAGGTTGTGCTGATTGCCGTAAAACTCCTCTTTATCGAGTTTAAGTAGGAACGCTGGGATGATAGGCACTGAAAGCGATTTAAAAAAAAATTATTAATTAAATTCATTGAAATAGTATTTTCAAACAAGTTTTTGTTTGTTTCTTTGTCTTAAACAAAAAATTAACATGGATTGTAACTAGTTGGTAGCAGAGCGTCACATTTAGGGTGGGGGGGGGAGTTGGGGGGTTGGGGGGGGGAGATTTAAGAAGAGACTGTGGTCAAGCCATTTAGAAAAAAATCAAAAGGAGGTAGTTTGAATTTTAAATTAAAATATAATAATATTAAAACTATAAAATGGACGTTTCTTTTAATAAGAATTGTGTCAAATAAACAGTGAATAGTGTCCAATAAGCAGTGATTTCTGTCCAATAAGAAGTCAATGGTGTCGAATCAGCAATGAATGATGTCAGATAAGCAGTGAATGGTGCTAAATAAGCAGTGAATGGTGTCAATTAAACAGTAAATGGTGTTCAGTAAGCCGCGAATGGTGTTACATAAGTAGTGAATGGTGATAAATCAGCAGTGAATTGTGTCAAATAAATGGTGAGTGGTGTTAAATGAGCAGTGAATGGTGTCAAGTAACTAGCGAATGGTGTCAAATAACTAGGGAATGGTGTCAAATAAGCAGTGACTGGCATTAAATAAGCAATAAATGTTGTCAAAAAGTAGCGAGCGGTGTCAAATGACTCATGAATGGTATCAAATTAGCATTGCATGATGTCAAGTGTGTAGTGAATGGTGTCAAATAGGTGGTGAATGGTGTCAAAAAGCAGTGAATTGTATTAAATAAGCAGTGAATGGTGTCAAATAAGTAGTGAGTGGTGTGAAATAAGTAGTGACTGGTTTTAATTAAGCAGTGGATGGTATTAAAAAAGCAGTGAATGGTGTCAAATACGTAGTGAATGGTTTCAAATAAGTACTGAATGGTGTCAAATAAGTAGTGAATGGTGTCAACTGGCCAATTCAAATGTGTTGTGAGATGGCTACTTAAGAAAAATACAGAATACCAGCAGTACATAGGTAGGCTGAGTAGGCGCGAGGATGGTCAAAATGTGTGCAAGTTTTAAAAACTTACGTTTGGCCAAAATTACGTCCTATAAAGATAAATATTTTTTTCTTAACTGTTCTGAACTGTTCACCTGCATAAAGCAGCTTCGTTAATGTTCTTTTTACTTCAGAAATAATCATGGTGTCTCAATTTTCCCTCATTTAGTTTTTTTTTTTCTCCATTTTTCCAAGTCCCGTGTTTGTTTGTTTTTTTAAAGGGCAACGATAGATTTTTTGGAAGGGAGAGGCTGACAGCTTAAAGATTACCCTGGCAGACAGCTCAAAGATTATCCTAGCAGACAGCTCAAAGATTACCCTGGCAGACAGCTCAAAGATTACCCTGGCAGGCAGCTCAAAGATTATCCTGGTTAAGAGCTCAAAGATTATCCTGGCAGACAGCTCAAAGATTATCCTGGCTGACAGCTCAAAGATTATCCTGGCAGACAGCTCAAAGATTATCCTGGCTGACAGCTCAAAGATTATCCTGGCAGGCAGCTCAAAGATTATCCTGGCTGACAGCTCAAAGATTATCCTGGCTGACAGCTCAAAGATTATCCTGGCTGACAGCTCAATGATTATCCTGGCTGACAGCTCAAAGATTATCCTGGCAGACAGCTCAAAGATTATCCTGGCTGACAGCTCAAAGATTATCATGGCAGAAAGCTCAAAGATTATCCTGGCAGAAAGCTCAAAGATTATCCTGGCAGATAGCTCAAAGATTATTCTGGCTGACAGCTCAAAGATTATCCTGGCTGACAGCTCAAAGATTATCCTGGCTCAAAGCTCAATGATTATCCTGGCTGACAGTTCAATGATTATCCTGGCTGACAGCTCAAAGATTATCCTGGCTGAAAGCTCAATGATTATCCTGGCTGACAGCTCAAAGATTATCCTGGCAGACAGCTCAAAGATTATCCTGGCAGAAAGCTCAAAGATTATCCTGGCAGACAGCTCAATGATTATCCTGGCTGACAGCTCAATGATTATCCTGGCTGACAGCTCAAAGATTATCCTGGCTGACAGCTCAATGATTATCCTGGCTGAAAGCTCAAAGATTATCCTGGCTGACAGCTCAATGATTATCCTGGCTGACAGCTCAAAGATTATCCTGGCAGACAGCTCAAAGATTATCCTGGCTGACAGCTCAATGATTATCCTCGTTGACAGCTCAAAGATTATCCTGGCTGACAGCTCAATGATTATCCTGGCTGACAGCTCAAAGAGTATCCTGGCTGACAGCTCAATGATTATCCTGGCTGATAGCTCAAAGATTATCCTGGCAGGCAGATCAAAGATTATCCTGGCTGACAGCTCAATGATTATCCTGGCTGACAGCTCAAAGATTATCCTGGCAGACAGCTCAATGATTATCCTGGCTGACAGCTCAAAGATTATCCTGGCAGGCAGCTCAAAGATTTTCTGGCTGACAGCTCAAAGATTATCCTGGCTGAAAGCTCAAAGATTATCCTGGCTGACAGGTCAAAGATTATCCTGGCTGACAGCTCAAAGATTATCCTGGCTGACAGCTCAATGATTATCCTGGCTGACAGCTCAAAGATTATCCTGGCTGACAGCTCAATGATTATCCTGGCTGACAGCTCAAAGATTATCATGGCAGACAGCTCAAAGATTATCCTGGCAGAAAGATCAAAGATTATCCTGGCAGATAGCTCAAAGATTATTCTGGCTGACAGCTCAAAGATTATCCTGGCTGACAGCTCAAAGATTATCCTGGCTCAAAGCTCAATGATTATCCTGGCTGACAGCTCAATGATTATCCTGGCTGACAGCTCAAAGATTATCCTGGCTCAAAGCTCAATGATTATCCTGGCTGACAGCTCAAAGATTATCCTGGCAGACAGCTCAAAGATTATCCTGGCAGAAAGCTCAAAGATTATCCTGGCAGACAGCTCAATAATTATCCTGGCTGACAGCTCAATGATTATCCTGGCTGACAGCTCAAAGATTATCCTGGCTGACAGCTCAATGATTATCCTGGCTGACAGCTCAAAGATTATCCTGGCTGACAGCTCAATGATTATCCTGGCTGACAGCTCAAAGATTATCCTGGCTGACAGCTCAATGATTATCCTGGCTGACAGCTCAAAGATTATCCTGGCTGACAGCTCAATGATTATCCTGGCTGACAGCTCAAAGATTATCCTGGCTGACAGCTCAATGATTATCCTGGCTGACAGCTCAAAGATTATCCTGGCTGACAGCTCAATGATTATCCTGGCAGACAGCTCAAAGATTATCCTGGCTGACAGCTCAATGATTATCCTGGCTGACAGCTCAAAGATTATCCTGGCTGACAGCTCAATGATTATCCTGGCTGACAGCTCAAAGATTATCCTGGCTGACAGCTCAATGATTATCCTGGCTGACAGCTCAAAGATTATCCTGGCTGACAGCTCAATGATTATCCTGGCAGACAGCTCAAAGATTATCCTGGCTGACAGCTCAATGATTATCCTGGCTGACAGCTCAAAGATTATCCTGGCTGACAGCTCAATGATTATCCTGGCTGACAGCTCAAAGATTATCCTGGCTGACAGCTCAATGATTATCCTGGCTGACAGCTCAAAGATTATCCTGGCTGACAGCTCAATGATTATCCTCGCTGACAGCTCAAAGATTATCCTCGCTGACAGCTCAAAGATTATCCTGGCTGACAGCTCAATGATTATCCTGGCTGACAGCTCAAAGATTATCCTGGCTGACAGCTCAATGATTATCCAGGCTGACAGCTCAATGATTATCCTGGCTGACTGCTCAAAGATTATCCTGGCAGACAGCTCAAAGGTAATCCCATAACTCTAGCCACCATCACCTATTAAACAAACAAAAATCCGTATCCGGAAATTTGTTTGAAAGAAATTTCGTCGATGGAAAATTGATCGACGGAAATTTGATCGAACGGAAGTTTGGTTGAATCCTTTTTTTTTTTTAAGTCCGCATGATCTAATTTTGCGGTAAATTTCTTTTTGAAAGCAATATTTTGTTTTACTATATAGTACATATAGCCCAAACTTTTATGTTCTTTCCCATAATACTATTTTCTAGGAATTGAAAAGAAATCATCAACTTATTGATAAAGATACATAATAAAAGATACATAATAAAATATTTAAATAACAAAATATTATCATAAAATTATCATCATAAAATAATATCAGCATATAATATTATCGTCATAAAAATTATCATCATAAAATAATAACTCATCAACAAATTATATTTTTAAAGATGTTCTGTTAACTTTATTTTGTATTTGATCGTTATTTCATTTTTAAATTGGTTAGGTGCGTTAACTTAAATTTTTAAAAATCATTTTTACATGCTTCTTAATATGATCGTTTGGTGCGTTATTAGAACCACTTTATATAGCATACTTCGCATATCATAACAGACTTTAAAAATCATACTATACTTTATATTACATCTAACATACTTTATACAACATAATATACTTTATATATCATAACAAACGCTATATATCATAACATACTTTAAATATCGTAGCATACTTTATATATCGTAACATATTATATTGATAATAACATACTTTATATATCATAATATACGTTAAATATCAAAACATATTTTATATATCGAACATACTTTATATATCGTAATATACTTTATATATAATGATATACTTAATATATCATAACATAATTTATATATCAAAACATACTTTATAAAAATAATAATTTACATAAAATCTTTGATATAACATACTTTATATAACATGCATACCTACTGATGTCAGTAATAAGTTATCTAGCAGATTGGTTAGAAACACGATGGCCAGCACCAGTCTTCTCGACTCTCTCGCCCTTTCTCTCATTGGCTGCAGTGAGTCTCCGCTGTTTAAAACACGGTACCAACAATCTCTCAAACTTCTCAGTGGCGACATACTAGAACCGTTGCACAAATTATCCTTCTATTGATAAATGAATGAGAGAAACACAAATCTCCTAAAAATTTCCCACCATTTTTGAACTGTTCTTAATTAAACTGCATATTTCCAAAGTGAAATTTCTTCGTAAACATAATTTTGTTAAAACTGTAAGCAGAGAAAAAAAGTACACAACACGCAACTAAGTTGTGTTCCCTAATGATGTGAAACACACTGTCATAATTCCGAAGTTCATCTAAATGAATATTGATAATTGTTGTTAGTTCTGATGAAGTTAATATTTGACAGAGTTTAAACTCAACTTGAAAATGTTCCGATAAACCTATCTGCCATATTTCACACAAGCTGTGTTGCCATCGTTAAGAAATACGGACAACTTCTGCATGGATTCATTGTTAGCCCCAGCCAACCATCGTGCACCAACAACAGCGTAGGCGTGTGAAGATGTTTCCGGCACAAACTGCAAAGTTCTCAATGCGGCGATGATCTGATTGGAATCTAATGCTATCGGTTCTCGAGCCCGAATGGCCTGATGGGAATGTCCGATCCAGAAAAGAAAGGGGCTAATTCTGACCACGTGATTGGCAGGGACCTATCAAATACACGGCTCGGCTCGTTGGCTTTGATCAGACCAAGGGAATGAGACGCTACATGAGATGGAAGTGTCTCAATTTTCCTGATTATATTTGTCACGCTTCAATGCACCTTATAACTAAGGAATGGGGTTTTCAAATCAGACGAGAAGCAGGAATTTAAGAAAACAATACAGTGACGTCACATGTTCGAATATTTTTCCTTGCGAAATGTTGGTTAATCGGTACTAGAAGCATTTGGACAACTCTTTAAGATAGTTTAAGACCTAAAATTTTATATTCTAAACGCTTACAAGTCAGTGTTTTTAGAACATAGGCCCCAAGTCTGTCACATACCAGTGTTATTAGAATATAGATTCTAATTCTGTCACATCAAGACAGTGTTATTAGAACATAGGTCATAATGTCACCTAAAATACTGTCTTATTTGAATAAAAGCCCAAAGTCTGTCACCTAGATGGCAGCACTTATAGTAAAATCTGCAGGCGCCTTGAGGTCGCTTCTATTGAAGTGTTTAGAGACGAGACACAGCTTATCTTGTGTATTATTACGGAGGTGTTCAGTACATCTGTCAGAGAGTCGGCATCATGTCTCCCTTATGTACGACATCTGGCATCGGGTGCAAACAATGACTTAGACAAAATTTCGGCTAGTACAAATGAAACCATCCCTTATCTGAAAACTGCCCTTAGAGAAGGAAATGTGTTGAGTCTGGGTGACAAAATGGCAAGTGTTCCAATGGCTGCGTCCCCATGGCTTCGTCCCAAAGTGGGAGTGGACAACGTTGATGCGATTTCGCTATAGGATGTCTCGCAGATTTTTATAACGCCTGAAAAGAATGAGAAGCTGGTCTGAGAAAATACTGGGGGTGTCAGGGTCGGCGAGGAGAATGACATAGTTTTTAAGGAAAACACGTTCGGCTGTTTTATTGCGAGGATTATATGTGAGAATAAAAAGCTGACGAAGACGAAGTAATCGAGAACAATGAATGGAGTCTTTACAGGATTTAGTGTTGGGGGGGGGGGAAGAGTAGAGTACTCTCCAGCATGTCTTCTCTAGCAGTGACACAATAAGACTATTATTTTAGGCCACTTATGACTTCTCCAGCAGTGACACAATAAGACTATTATTTTAGGCCACTTATGACTTCTCCAGCAGTGACACAATAAGACTATTATTTTAGGCCACTTATGACTTCTCCAGCAGTGACAAAATAAGACTATTATTTTAGGCCACTTATGACTTCTCCAGCAGTGACAAAATAAGACTATTATTTTAGGCCACTTATGACTTCTCCAGCAGTGACAAAATAAGACTATTATTTTAGGCCACTTATGACTTCTCCAGCAGTGACAAAATAAGACTATTATTTTAGGCCACTTATGACTTCTCCAGCAGTGACAAAATAAGACTATTATTTTAGGCCACTTATGACTTCTCCAACAGTGACAAAATAAGACTATTATTTTAGGCCACTTATGACTTCTCCAACAGTGACAAAATAAGACTATTATTTTAGGCCACTTATGACTTCTCCAGCAGTGACAAAATAAGACTATTATTTTAGGCCACTTATGACTTCTCCAACAGTGACAAAATAAGACTATTATTTTAGGCCACTTATGACTTCTCCAACAGTGACAAAATAAGACTATTATTTTAGGCCACTTATGACTTCTCCAACAGTGACAAAATAAGACTATTATTTTAGGCCACTTATGACTTCTCCAACAGTGACAAAATAAGACTATTATTTTAAGCCACTTATGACTTCTCCAACAGTGACAAAATAAGACTATTATTTTAGGCCACTTATGACTTCTCCAACAGTGACAAAATAAGACTATTATTTTAGGCCACTTATGACTTCTCCAACAGTGACAAAATAAGACTATTATTTTAGGCCACTTATGACTTCTCCAGCAGTGACAAAATAAGACTATTATTTTAGGACTGCTATCTTATGTCTTCTCGTGCAGCATATTTTTTAATGTGCTAAAGACGACCTGCGTATTAATAAAAATATAATAATAATAGGCCTTCATATCGATACAAATGTTTTATGGAGATTTCAAATATTTAGCGTCAAATACTGCAACCCTGCGGCTGTATAATCCATAAGGCTTACTAGGCTGAAGCATAGGGCCCACAGGGAGCAGGGGCCCACTAAGAGCAGGGGCCCATGCAACCTTTAGCTACGCCATGGTAATGATGCGTATTCGAAAATTACATATTAAAAAAATTCCTACTTCATTCAACGACAGTTAGACCGCTGCTAATTACACCTTTTAAAATTATTTTTGTTAAGTTTGTATTAATTTTCAAACCATACTTGTGCTTAACTAGGTAGTCTATGCTACTTAATCGCATAACTAATTTGTGCGTGAAAGTATACGTCTCTTGACATGAGAAGGCTACAGTTACCTAATAATTTGAGGCCTAACTAACCATCCACCCTACGTTAACCAACATTCATGTCATTTTGAAATTATTCTAATAAATTAATTACTTCACTAATAGTGGACTAAGTTGTAGGAAAGGAGATCACTAAATTCTTGGGTGGACGTCGAGGGGCCCAAAGAAACTGGGAGCCTAGGGGCCCAAAGAAGCTGGGAGCCTAGGGGCCCAAAATATCTCAAAACCTAGGGGCTCTGCCTGAGGTCAATAAATAATTAGCTATTAGGACATCAAAGTGCTGTGAGCATGCTGAAATAGCATGGACACAAGCACTATAAAACTACACAATCATCATGAAAAAAGATGGAAGCCTAGGGCCCCAAAGAAGCTCAAAGCCTAGGAGCCCTGCCATGAGTCAATACGGCTCTGCAGCGGAGTAGCATTGGGACCCAGTGCTGCGAAAATATTGAATGGTTAACATGGAAGTGGGAGAGTGGGGTGGGGGGGTGGGAGTGAAGAGATTGTAATTATATCGAGGGTGGGGGCGGTATAAACAAAATGTAGAATGGTTAACAAGGATGTCGTGAGGGAAAGTAGGTAGACGGTAGTATTTAAGAGGGTATGGGTTCGGTGTGGGGACACTATAGAATGGTGAAAGGTGTAAACAAGAGAAGGTGGGTGGGGAGTCGGTAGTCGGGACCAATCGGAAGGGCGTGGAAATTAATGTATTAATACCGTATTTCCTTTTCCTTCTCACAATTATTTCAGCAGAAAGAATGTGGAGAACATAAAGCTTTCCGGGTCGTAAAATCAAAAGAGCAAAAGCAGAAAAAGTACGTCGTCATGGGAAAGAGTGGCGCCATACAGGGACAGGGAAGGGGGCGCCGAACGGGTGCTTCGCAGAGGGCGAAAATTTACCTAAGGCTTAACACTGAACTGGTCATTGTTTGTTAAAAAAAAACAAAAAAACAACAACATAGGTAATAAACTCATTACCGAATAACTAGTTTTTTTTTACTTTAAAGATTATACTTGTAAGGGGCGCCAAAGTTAAGCTTGCACAGGGCGCCAGCAACCGTCAGGGCGGCCCTGATATATATATATATTTATATATTTATTTATTTATATAGACCTATATATAAATATATATAATAATGTTTTGCTTAATTTGTTGTAGATATTTTTCTCGACAAAAAAAAGGGGGGGGGGG